CTGGGAACCAGGTGACAGGGCCTGGCTGCATTGCCCTCAGGCACCTTTGGCTACGTCACCTAAATTGTTGAAGCCATGGCGGGGACCCGTGGAGGTCGTGCGGGTTGCACGCCCCCAGTGCGTTCAGATAAAATGGGGAAAACGCCGTTGGTACGTCCACCCCTCCCGACTGAAACCGTTCTCGCCTCCATATGGCCTCCCCTTGTGTCGTGAGGGCCGAGCATGTGACGTGACCGACGACCCTAAGGGGGAAATGTCTTTGCCTGATCCTCACATGTCTCCGCCTGATCCGCTCCCAGGTGTCTCGGAACTGACAACTGCCGACCACCGGCGGCCGGATCTTCGCGGCGGGGCCGGTCCTTCCGGGCCCGATCCGCGCCGTCTAGAGCAGCCGGAGCCGCCGGACGGTCACCAGCGTCCCGTCCCATACGACGGACCGGCCAGACGGACTCGCGCTAGGTCGCGCTACTTTTTATGACCTACCACGTGAGGAGTCGAGGCAGCCGGAGCGCCTCGTCACTGCGTTTAGTCACAGAGACACTTGGCGCGTTCGTTTTCGGGTGTTCGCTTTTATTGTGTTGTTCGTCGGGCTGTATATTGCTTCTTATTTAAGTGTTGTGTTGTTGTTGTTGCGTTACGGGGCACACTGGGGGGTGGAGTTTCGTTATTACTGCGTTGACGTTAGGTTGTGTTGTTGGTTAACAGCCGGGCCGGCTGCAAGCTATGTGGGAGGGGGTGATGTAGTGGTGATACGCGCTGGGATTAGGGATCGTATGCCAGCGCGTAATGATTGGCTGTGTATGTGGTGACACGCGCTGACGGTGGAGGATCAGGGGTCAGCGCGGGGTCGTGGGTTACGGGGTAATGATTGGCTGTGGACCGGTGACGCGCTGAGAGGGAGTGACCGGGTGGCAGCGCGGTGTGATTGGTGGAGGAGTGTTAACACGCGCTGGGGAAAACGGATCGTAGAGAGAGTGCGTCGTGATTGGTTCACTAAGGAGCGATGCTCACATCGACGTCCGCATCAGCTCCGTCTCTCGTGAGCAGGGGCTATAAAAGGGGATGCACACAGGCGTAAGGGCAGTCGGTAACCAGCGAAGAATGAAGACGGGGATGAAGACCTAGGGCCCTGCGGTACCTAGTCCCGCTGTCCTAACGGGACCGGGACTCTGTGTAACCCAGAGGCGAGTGTAGTGTGTGTAGCCATAGGCATAGAGTCTACACGAGCCGAATGTATTGTGTGTAGCCAGAGGCATAGGGTCTACACGAGTCAAGTGTATTGTGTGTAGCCAGAGACATAGGGTCTACACGAGTCAAGTGTATTGGGTGTAGTCAGAAGCATAGAGTCTACACGAGTTAAGTGGAGTGTATAGTCCAAAGGATAGAGACCACCCGTTGTATTGTGACACGTCAAGATTTAATAAAAGTGTGTTACCCGTCAAGAAGTTCCTGCCGTCAATTCCAATACTTCACATGTACACAAGGCACATGGGCGGGAGCCCTGCCTTCTTGCTATTTGTGAGTGGCCCACTCTGCCGCTTGCCCCCACGACCTTTGCGTGTTGTTTCACCTCCGTTTCCAGCCTGCGCACATTCTGCTGTTGCGGTGGGGTTTCGTCATTTTGCGTTTGAATGATTGTAAGCATTCCACGTCAAGGTGAAAGGGAGGTTGACAACGTCCCCTTCTTATTCGCGAGGGATACGTTCAGGAGATGCTCGTGAATATCAAATTTCGCGGATAATGATATTGGTCCGTACAAACATTTTAATTATCTTAAATATATAAATAAGCTATTCAATACATGACCATTACCAAAACACCTTTATCTCATCAATTTATCTCTCGTTCCATTCTCGTCACTTTATTGCATAACATTCTCATCACTTTCATTCGATGCAGTTCCAGATGCGACACAGTCAAAATCGTGGATAGCAAGTTCGTGACGAACGAGGGAAGACGACTGCATGACGCGTGTTTACCCAGGAAAGCCTCACTCAACCTCAACTTAGGGGCCGTCCATAAATGACGTCACGCACCTAGGGGGGGGGGTGAGAAATGTGACGTCACATCAAAATGCGCAACTTTAAATATAGACAACACGTTCTACTTAATAATATTTTCTCCTACATCAGAGTGCAGCGCCACATTAAATACGCACTACAATGACAATAGTTTCCATTTGAAGCATGATAAAAAAAAATTTGGGGGGGGGGAGAGCTTTGTGACGTCATATTTGAGGGGGGGGGTCTGACTTTGTTACGCCGTTAGACGAGGGGGGGGAGGGTCAAAAATCGTCCAAAATCGCGTGACGTTGTTTATGGACGGCCCCTTACCGGAGGGTCTTGCTGAGTTAACGCAATGTTCCGTTTTTTTGTAACAGCGTTCATACAAATTGCGTCTCGAAGTCGCTGGCAAAGCAGACGACTGGAAGGTGGCAAGCCGGAGCCGACAATTTCCCAAGCTTTGCAATCTTCTATGGTTGATGTTTTCGTGTTGTATCACACGTGGGAGGAAACGGGAGCACCCGGGGAGAGCACCCACGCGTGCGAGGGGGCAACAGCAATCCACACAAGTGATGTGATATTCTATTAGTCCGTGCCTTGATGTACCGCCGTCTCGGGATAAGCCACGGTTAGTGCACCTCGACGCCCACGGGGAGGGAGTTTCGCAGCATTCGAGCGATCGGCCAAACCGCCTCCAGTGCTGGCGGCGTGCCTCGTCACCGCCGCCCCACCGGGAGGGGCGATGGTGCTGTGTAAACCCAAGTAAGGAGCAGATTATTCTTCAGCATTGGGATGTTTGGCCAATACCAGGTATCTCCCAAGAACTCAGAGAAAGTACCACAATAGGCGGAGAATATACAAACTCTAATAAACAGAAAGGCGCCCGAGTACTCAACCAAGCAAAGAGGCGCTTTGCTACGAGGCGCATTGCCATGAGGCATGGGTGTTAGCAAGCTCGTCTCGACGCGCTGCCCGTAGCAGGGATTGGAGTGAGTGCGGTGATCACTGTGCCGGCTGGTCTCTCGTGTGTTTGTAAAAGCCTGCGCCCTGTGTGTGTGCGGCTGCCTCGCGTAGACATTGCCATGATCGCTGCTGGGTCCACAGCAGAGTGGATGCACAGCACGTGGCTCCTTGTCACGCATCTCCCCATCGCCCCCTCCGGCCCTCTTCCACCACCACTTAGCCTCACCCCCCTCCTCCACTCACCTCCACCACCACCCACTCCCTCCACCACTCACCTCCACCCACTCCCTCCACCACTCACCACCACCACCCACTCCCTACACCACTCACCTCCACCACCATCCACTCCCACCACTCACCTCCACTCACCACCACCCACTCCCTCCACCACTCACCACCACCACCCACTCCCTCCACCACTCACCTCCACCCACTCCCTCCACCACCCACTCCCTCCACCACTCACCTCCACCCATTCCCTCCACCACTCACCTCCACCCACTCCCTCCACCACTCACCTCCACCCACTCCCTCCACACCACCTCCACTCACCACCACCCACTCCCTCCACCACTCACCACCACCCACTCCCTCCACCACCACCCACTCCCACCACTCACTTCCACTCACCACCACCCACTCCCTCCACCACTCACCACCACCCACTCCCACCACTCACCTCCACCACTCACCTCCACCACCACCCACTCCCTCCACCACTCACCTCCACCACCACCCACTCCCTCCACCACTCACCTCCACTCACCACCACCCACTCCCTCCACCACTCACCACCACCCACTCCCTCCACCACTCACCTCCACTCACCACCACCCACTCCCTCCACCACTCACCACCACCCACTCCCTCCACCACTCACCTCCACTCACCACCACCCACTCCCTCCACCACTCACCACCACCCACTCCCTCCACCACCACGCCCACTCACCACCACCCACTCCCTCCACCACTCACCACCACCCACTCCCTCCACCACTCACCTCCACTCACCACCACCCACTCCCTCCACCACTCACCACCACCCACTCCCTCCACCACTCACCTCCACTCACCACCATCCACTCCCTCCACCTCTCACCCCCACCCCCTCCCTCCACCTCCACGCCCACTCACCACCACCCACTCCCTCCACCACTCACCACCACCCACTCCCTCCACCACTCACCACCACCCACTCCCTCCACCACTCACCTCCACTCATCATCCACTCCCTCCACCACTCACCACCACCCACTCCCTCCACCACTCACCACCACCCACTCCCTCCACCACTCACCTCCACTCACCACCATCCACTCCCTCCACCACTCACCACCACCCACTCCCTCCACCACCACGCCCACTCACCACCACCCACTCCCTCCACCACTCACCACCACCCACTCCCTCCACCACTCACCTCCACTCACCACCACCCACTCCCTCCACCACTCACCACCACCCACTCCCTCCACCACTCACCTCCACTCACCACCACCCACTCACCTCCACCACTCACCACCACCCCACTCCCTCCACCACTCACCACCACCCACTCCCTCCACCACTCACCACCACCCACTCCCTCCACCACTCACCACCACCCACTCCCTCCACCACTCACCACCACCCACTCCCTCCACCACTCACCACCACCCACTCCCTCCACCACTCACCTCCACCCACTCACCACCACCCACTCCCACCACTCACTTCCACTCACCACCACCCACTCCCTCCACCACTCACCACCACCCACTCCCTCCACCACTCACCACCACCCACTCCCTCCACCACTCACCACCACCCACTCCCTCCACCACTCACCACCACCCACTCCCTCCACCACTCACCTCCACCCACTCACCACCACCCACTCCCTCCACCACTCACCACCACCACCCACTCCCTCCACCACTCACCTCCACCCACTCCCTCCACCACTCACCACCACCCACTCCCTCCACCACTCACCACCACCCACTCCCTCCACCACCACGCCCACTCTCCCCATCCCCGCCCTTGTTTTACGACGTCACGTGACGCGTCGGGAAGTCGGCGCGACGCTGACTCGGTGAGACGGGCACAGAAATTTCTTGTTCATGTTTTTGTTTGTTGCGGTTACACCCGATTCAAGAGCCGAATGGCTCACAGGGCTACACCTAATACTTGAACTTGAACTTGAACCCGCAGCGTCACCCACACACCGACTCGGCAGAGCCCCTGAAGCCGGAGTAACACGTCGTGCTGTACGTGCCTTTCTACCCAAGAGGGCTGCACCAAGTCAAAGGGCTCTTTTCAGGAGGGTGCTGCACTGGGGATGTTTGGCCAACATCGGTGGCATCGTCAAGCGAGTTTAGTTGCCATTCGCTTTTGGGACCCGCGCCGTTGCGGTGGCCCTGACCCCCCACGCCTCTGGGCCCAGACCGTGGCTCTGCTGAACCCCGGGGCCCCCGGGGGAGGGAGGAGAGGCGCTCACACAGCTCCCAGGCGAGTGCAGAGGGCAGGCAGTCAAGTTAGACTCGCGAGGCGACTCGCTTACACATCGAAGCTCGCCTCGCCACCTCGCCCACCACTCGGTCTCTGCTGATTTCTATTCCCTCTCCATTCCTTAATCGCTCATTGCCTCCCCCCGTCGTGTAAGTTTGTTGAACTTCTTTCGCGCCGTACGTGTAGGAGCAACCCGAAGGGAGGCAACATGGATATGGAGAAGGCCTCTCCCGTCAAGGGGACCCCAGACGGAACCCCTGAAGGAGGACCCCCACTCGTGGCTGTGTGTCAGCTGACCAGCACGGACGATGTGGACAAGAACGTGAGAGCGTGCGAGGCTCTGGTGAGAGACGACGCCACGACCTCTGCACCACCGCGGGCGGCCGAGGGGCCTCAGCAGGGAAGGGCTGAAGGCGTCCTGGGTTTGATTGCCCACCCGGGCGCCTGTCTGCGTGGAGCTCGCGTGGTCGTCTCCCCCTGCTCTGGATGGGGGTTCTCCCGAGTGCTCCAGTTTCCTCCCGCAGCTAAAATCTATAAATATAAATGGGAAATTCGTGAATGTGTCTGTTGGAAATGTTTAAGATACTTCCCAACATACAACAAACTTGAAAAATTGCATGTGGGTAGCTTCCAGACTACACAATGCAAAAAGTATTAAAATAGACTTGTATTTTGGGGAGCGGGGCTCGCATTAATGGATATATTTCACACGGCAAGTTAGTGGTGACGTCACATCTGTCACATCTGTGACGTCACCCGCATGCGGCAGCCTCACGCAGTGTGCCTGCTGACGTCACCCCCCCCCCCCACCCTCCGCGTAGGCCGTGTATTAATCCAAGCCAAGAATCCAAGTCTCGGGCCAAGCTGGGTAGTAGTAAAGCTAGAAAGGGTATATGATGGAACAAGTATTTGCCAAAACATCTCAAGGCTGAAAAAACACCTCTACATAACTCGTAGCAGCGAATACTTGGCAAGACCCTTCTGATATCGTCTGACTCGGTGAGGCTTTCTTGCTTAATAATTAATTAATCAACCTCCATCATGGTTACGGTGCCATGACCATTAACACCATCAGTACCATGAACGATGTTCGCAATATTGCAATCAACTTTATCCCTTGAACAAGACCATTATTACCGTCAAGACCATTATCACAAGATTACTGTTGTGTTTAGTTCTTCCTCCACACCTCCGATTAGTACGGTTGGCTACGTACGATGCAAAATAAGTTTGACATTGTGCATACTAACCGTCACGATTATTTCTGCAGAATTCGACTCTACAAAATGGTTTACAATGCATTGGATATAATACAGTATAAAAATCAAAAAGCAACAGGATGTGAGATCAATACTCAAAAACGCTTCCATGTTATACTGGGATCACGACGCAAGTAACAGCATGGGGCATAGAAGAGGAGTCGGACGAAGAGATACTGTTCCCCGAGTCTATTCATAGAAGCATAACATTTCGGAACATGGGAGTAGATTAATACATGCATGAATATAGATGGAGAAGGTTTGAGCTATTTCATATTTACTGATGACATGGAGGAGTGTGGCGAGTGAAATCGGATAAGGTGATGGCCAGAAATCGAGTAATGGTCGGAGAGGGGATGTGTTGATGTGCGTGTGTGTGAGCGCAGGTTTGTCGCGCATCTGTGAGAGGCGCACGTGCCGTGTTTCTTCCCGAGGCGAGCGACTTCCTCTGTGGGAGTGGATCACAAGCTTCAGGACTCACTCAGAGTCTGGACGGACCCATCGTGCAGGCCTTCAGAGACATGGCTAGGTACAGCCCCAAACCCGGCCCTGCACAGGGTTTGGCTATCTGGGTGTGTTGTACAGGCAGCATGATGTGTGGGTGTTGAGTGTTGTATTACAGGTAACATACCTGGGCAGTGTGCTTATGACTAGCTCTTTTTGACAGAAGAGGTTTCACTCAGAATCAGTCGTGTGGAATCACTGGCGGAGCCAGTGGAGGGGGGGGGGGTGGCATGTGCCCCCCCAATGATCCGATCGAAATCCCTAATTTCGATCAGATCATTGGGGTTTATTAGTAATAAATCGGCATTTTGCGACCCCCACTATGACTGTGTAACATTATTACATGCCAGGGACTATGAGATGATAGGACAATAGTCTGAGTCCATAATTGGCAATAAGTAACGGCAAAGCAGTTATAAGTGACTCACAGAATTGTGCGCAGTTGCGTATACAGTACACGACTTCCCTGAAGGCATACCTTCAGCGAGCGCGATGCCGATCACACACGGTTCGAATTCGACCCTCGATCGATGGCAGCGCCATTGCTACACACGCGTCGAATAAAATGCAAGGGACAAGTCCTTACTTACTAAAAACTATCATTTTTCATTGCTGGAGGAGTTGCCCCCCTACCTGAAAATCCTGGCTCCGCCATTGTGCGGAATTATCTTTTCATCGGCTGCGTAATGCTGTATGGAAGCTACCTGGTCGGTCGCTCCACACGAAGAATCAGGTCTTCTTGGCCACAGTCATGACCTCCCTTCTCTAAGCTTGTGAATCGTGGACCCTCTAATGGATCATCTGCGCCGGTTAGAAACATTCAGGCTGGCCTGCCTACAATCTATCCTGGGTTTAACCAGGATGGATTGTGTGAGCTCACAAATCCTTGAAAGATCTGAACACATTCCCATCAGTGAGCTCCTCCAACAGGCAATACTTGGTTGGCAGGGTCATGTAAACCGCATGCTCAATCACCACCTGCCCAAGCAGCTTCATTTTGGCCGGATAGAGGGGGCTGAACGGGCACGACACAGGCTGGAGAAGAGATGGACTGATGGCTGTGCGGTCTGATGTGGAGCTTAGTGGACTCGCCGAAGACTGGTACCAGCGGTGTCAAGATCGGCCTTTATGGTGGAGGCTGGCTCATGAAGGACACTGCTGGGCAGTTGGAGACAGTCGCCCTCCAAGAACAATGGAGGGCAGAGGAGCAACGCTCACAACAACGAGAGGAGTGCCGGGTGGATAAAATGATTCAAGTTGGCTCAGTAAGAGGTACAGCTGGTGCATATTCTAGTCATCTCAGTCAACCCTTGGCACCTGGGTCTGTCCCATGACCTGTCAGCAAGCCTTTGATACTTTACGTGGCCTCAAAGTGCACCTGGCCTGGCACAGGCGCCATGGTGACGTCACCGTCACTTAGTGGCAAATGGCAGGTATTGGCATTACAGGTACCACGGTGTGTGTGACTGGTGTTGCATTATGATCTTGGGGTGTTTGGGGTTTCCGACCCTTTCCTGACGATCAGCAAGGAGCTTCATAATCGGCAGCGCCAGATACAGGTGTGTGTACAGAAGTCTGAGCCATTCCCTTGGGTGCAAGAGGGATGTCCTTTGGCTACTACACTACTTAACATGTTCAATAATTATTACTGATTTACAAAGCATACATGTAACCAAGTTGAATTCCCATTGTCATATCTGGGGTGGAGCACCCAGTTCCTACTTCATTGCAGTCGGAGTGATTGATAATCCAGCACCCACCAATTCACTCCATTCTTTCACCTCGTCGGTCAATCACCCCCTCATCACACTTCTATCACTATAACAATACTCTTCCTGTCAACTTAACTCATTAATTCCGACTGTAGGTCACAACACTTCTCTTTATACTTCTTCCCTTTCACTGCTGCGCAATAGAATTTCCTCCCATCGTCTATTTTTCCATGTTCGTCTTACCTTGCAAAATATATATTTTGCAACTTAGATAGTGATTATTCTTTTTTATTGCATGATGTTTTTGGCCTTTGGGCTTGTGCTCAGCAACTGTGTTTTAAAATGAGATGTCTGAGTGGATTGTGAGAGGAGCTCACGGAGCCTTAAAAACATCTGGAAACATTCTCATCAGTGAGCTCCTCCGACAGGTGAGCTACGTTAGCTGGGTCATGTATCCCGCATGCCCAACCATCAGATGCACAAGCAGTTTCTATTTGGCTGAATAGATGGGGCTATACAGGCGTATCACGGGCTGGAGAAGAGATGGGCTGATTTGGTACAGGAGGATTTGAAGCTGAGTTGATTTGTGGACGACTGGTACCAGCGTCCCCTAACCGTTTGGAAGAGGCCCGTGAAGGATGCTTCATGGCAGTTGGAGGCAGTCACCCTCCAGAAACAACGGAGGGTAGAAGAGCGATGCTCGGAACAATTAGCATATTGCCAAGCAGCTAATATCTGGGTCCGAGAGCCTTCCACACTTCACGTGGCCTCGTATGATGTGTTACAGACAGCACGGGGTGTGGCTGTCTATGAGTGTGTAGGTGTTGTATTGTATCATGGGGTGTGTGTTGTATTACAGGCGGCATGGCGTGTGGCTGTCTGTGGGTGTGCATGAGCGGGGCCCCACGTGGAGCGAGGATGGTCGCGTTTACAACTCACACCTCCTGCTCGACGAGCATGGTGAAGTGACACTTCCATTAACGTTGTTGTCAGAGCCTGGTGATGTTAGATTATTGTTTAGTAAGCAGCAAGGTGGCTCAGCGGTAGAGTGAGCGGCTCACAATTGGAAGCTTGCAACTTTAAAACTTGCTTTCCTCTGGGATCTATAAAATGAGTATCACTTTGTGGGGAAGGCAACAGTGGTTGTCCATGGATAGACTTGCCCACCCCACAGGAATCTGGATTTTCAACCACTGGCTAAGGGTTGTAAATGGGATATGATCACTGCCTCAATCTTTATTTGAGCAGGAAATAACTTTAGTAACAGATGGGCGTTGTGTAGGGTGTTTTTGGTGGGCTGTTGGTTAGGGGTGGAGGTGATTGTGTATGGCGAGAGGTGTTACGTGGTGATGTTTCGGTGATATGTAGGAATACCGGGTGTGGTGGAGGTTTAATGTTGGGTAGGGATCAACATATTCCTTGGTTTATTCGGTAAAGTCACGTAGATAGAAACATTATAAAAATTATAATAAAGTGAATAAAAATACCAGGACGTTTCGATCGCAACACAAGCGGTCGTCGTTAGGAAAAGGGGTTAGCCTCTAAACGCAAATAGTTTTTAAGGTTTGGAGATGGACGTAGCCCAAGTGTATCAGCAGCTCCAGCAGCATGGGCGGGGCAGCAATGCCAATGCAGCAACAATACCAATGCAGCAGCAATGCCAATGCAGCAAAGGGCTGCCAGGAAATCACTGCACCCCGCTCCACACACCATACTGCTGACGGTGGAGGTTGATTGACAAGAAACGTCGTGATATTTTTATTCTTTTTATTTTTATTATTATTTCTATCTACGTGACTTTACCGAAAGAACCAAAGAATATTAATTCCTGGAGTCACGAAAGTTTTAAGTCAAAATTTAGGGATCAACAGTTCTTGTTTCGGGATGGAGGGTTAGACTTGTAATCCTGTTTTTAGGATTAATTCCAAATGTTCAGCCAGCCAAACTAATACATTCTAACAAATTAAAAATACAAATTACAGAATAGAGAAAAACAAGCACATTACAAAAAAACATGTACAAACATAATCAAGGTTCGTATCATGCAAAAAAGCTGTCTTTCACTCGAAATAAAGACACGTAAACCTCAAAATATATTTGGAATTATTATTGGACGGTGCCTGCTGTTCAGGAGAGGTGCGGGCCGTGTACCGGAAGACGCACCTGTTTGACGTGGACCTCCCTGGGGTTGTGCGACTAAAGGAAAGTGACTACACGCTGCCCGGACCCTGCATCGCCCCACCAACAGCTACACCCATCGGCATGGTAACTACACCTCACCCACATCTGCAGCTGTCACCGTGGTAACAAACCGAACTCTTCTGAGATGAGGAATGTGTCTTGCCCGCTGCGCGGTACGTGCAGGTCGGGCTGGGGATCTGCTATGACGTTCGGTTCCCCGAGTTCTCCCAGCGACTGAGGCAGAGCGGAGCCGAAGTGCTGACCTACCCGTCCGCCTTCACTCTCACCACGGGTATGGCACACTGGGAGGTGAGTGCTCACTCATGGGGTTATTTGATTTTCCTAACATATATATATGATCCAGAACAAAGACAAGGCAAAGGCATCTTGCTGACTTACGAAACGTAACTGGGCTTGGGTAGAATGAATTCTGATGAATGAAGAAGCAGTAGCCAATGGAGGGGGCATGCCACGGGATGCCTATTGCGGAGATGGAGCAATGAAATCATACCCTTGTGCACGAGCTAGCTAATTACATTGCAAGACTGAGAGATGTGAATAGATCATGGATGATAAATATGATGTCTTCAAGGTGATTTCCTGCTGAAGCGAGCATTGAGGCGGTGTCATTTGTTGTTTACAGCCCTGAACCACTTGGTGACATGTCCACATTCATATGGCGGGGGCAAGTCTATCCATATAACAACCACTGTTGACTTATCCACATTGGTAGTAGTTTTATTGACCCTAGTATGGTAATTGGCTGAGTCAACCCCCAACCAGGATTTGAACTTGCAACCTTGGAATTATGAGTCACCTGGCCTATTGTTGATGTTAACGTTGCTACATATTCATACAGGTGACCCCTGACTTACGACAGCTAGACTTGTGACCCCCCGCTTTTACCACCTTATAGTAAGACCCCCACCATAACGACCAAAACTCGTATCTACGACCGCCTAACGACTGCTGCCGATTGGTGACGATTCTGCGCATTTCATGCACCATCAGGCGACGAGTCTGCGCATGGTATGCGCAGACTCGTCGCCTGATTCCGCTGCTTTGCTCTTCCGCCGTATGCGTATGTACCGTATAGCCGTACAGTATAGCCCGACAGTCTGCAGCTCCGCCTAGAGCGAACGCATCTCTTTCGCAACGCTCTTAATTTTTTTGTTAATTTTATAAAAGTTTTATAGAATGTTCACCTTTCACTGTCTGAGAAGTGGAAACATGATGCACCTGTTTGTTTTTACTGAATAAATGTTAATAAAAGTTATGTTAAGTTACAATAAATGTTTGTTCGGGTTATATAAATGTATTTTGGTATTTTTATGGTATGTAATGGGTTTCCAGGAAGGGGGGAACCCCAATGTATAACATTGCACCCATGAGAGGTGAGGGTTCCACTTACGACGGCTCAAATTGCAACCTTCGTCCAGGAACCAATTAGGTCCGAGGTGCGGGGGTCGCCTGTACTACACGACATTTGATTATTGTTATTATTGCTCTTGTTTACCCAGAAAAGCCTCACTGAGTCCCAAGTCTCTTTTTCAGGAGGGCCCTCTAAGTTTTCGCAGTCGAGGGTAACAATTGGTATGTTTCCCATCTAAGTAATTTCAGAATAATATTCACATTTGGACCGTAATGTTGGCACGCAATGGGCTACCTTGTTTGAATAACATCTTTAACGTCCAGCACCTTGTTGGGCACCTTCATACTATTACAAGTTATCGTAAAAAATAAGAAAATACCTTAAGTATTTGGAACAATCATTCACTGTCATAATGAAGATTATTAAACAAAATGTTGAGCCAAAACAGTCATGAAATTAAAAACCAAAAAAAAGACCAAAAAACCAGGCCCAAATCTGCACATTGGAGCCACAGAAACCCTGAACACCAGGGTCCAGTATTGAGAGACCGAGTGAATGGTCACAAACGATGTGGCACACCAAGAGGAGTGGACATTCACCAACAGTGGGTGAGCAACACCTTGGCAAATGTTCATGTCAAGCGTTTTCACTCGGGAATGTTCACGTCTCTGTACCGATGTCCCCATCCATGTTTCTGCACGTGCCCAGCCACTCCTGCGAGCCCGTGCCATTGAGACCCAGTGCTATGTCGTGGCCGCTGCCCAAGCCGGGCGCCACGGCGCTCCCCGCGACAGTGCGCCCGCTCCACGGGTGTCGTTCGGCCACGGCATCGTGGTTGACCCGTGGGGCTGCGTGGTGGCACAATGCGGCCACGGCAACTCCTTGGCGCTGGCAGAGGTGGACACAGGCCTCGTGCGGAACGTGCGGACATCCATGCCTGTGCATGAGCACAGACGCCACGACCTGTACTGATGACTCATCGCAGCGCACCTCACCACAATGGTACCTGCTGGAGCACAGCTGCCACAGCACTGTTGCCACGCGCTTGACATCCTACACACATCGTGGCAATTGCCAAGCCACAGCATATTCATGAGCACCGTACACCTGTTCGCCATTGTTTGTCATGCCCCCCCCCCCGCGTGTGCAGCTCCGCCGCCCCCTCAGGAGTGCGGCCCAGCCCCCCAGCGCGAGGTCGGGACCGGCGCGGTGGTGGTGGTGGCGGCTCGCGAGCTGTGGGAGGCTGCTTGCTTCAGCAAGAAGGCCATCAATTTGTAACTGAGACTAGGGATTTAATCGGCATCTCCAGTGATTGCTCATGATGGACTCGATTACAGATCCCACTGCTGCATTGAGGAATGTAACACAATCTTGCAAATTATTTATGGTGATGTTATATTGATGATAACAGTTGTGATGTTTAATAAAAATGATTTATCCAGTCTCAAGACATTGAGGGAGGGTCCTGCGTGGGGTGTTTGGTCAATTCTCCTTTTGAGGTATGGGAGGAGGTGACGTATAGTACATGACGTATAGTACATGACGTATGGTACATAACGAACACCGGTGCATGCTTTAGTACTCAACACTGCCACACTGAGTGGGCGGCAACCTCTCTGCTGTTCTGTCTCGTACATGCAGCATGTGGTGTGTACTGGAATATAATTATCAACATCCATTTGCAGCCCTGAAACTGAGATTATGGTAATGAGGATGTTGAGTGATGCTGTTAATCAGCAATGATAGATGGTGGTAATGAACAAGTACAATCCTTGTGCCAATCCACTCGTGGATGAAGGTCTCCCCATTCCGTGCCGGTCATTCTGCTTGTTTACCCAGGAAAACGCATGACTTTCAAGAGGGTCCTGCCAAGTTTTCGCATTTGTGGGTGATGATTGCTATGTACTGTATATTCCAATTGTGTAATAAGGGGGTGCCACGGTGGCGAGATGTTAACTACCTTGCCTGGTATACAGGAGGTCGATCCCGACCTTGACGCCCCTATGTTTGGAGTTTGCATGTCCTCCATGTGGTCGCATGGATTTTTCTCTGGGTCCTCCGTTTTTTCCCTTCACATTTAAAAACATGCGTTTTGAGTATTTCGTTGCTATAAATTTGAACATGATAATCCACCTAATTCAGCAATCCGTTGTGGCCAGGTCGCTTATGAAACAGAGTTTTATTGCTCAATCGGCCTTACTTGGTAAAAATATTTTTTTTTACGTTATATACATGCGTCATGTCACCGGCACAGTGACCTTTTGTGAATGACTTCATATAATCCTTAACTTCTTGGTTCTTTCGGTAAAGTCACGTAGAAGGGAAGTAATAAAATAATAAAAATAAAACATAATAAAATTATTCTCACGACGTTTCGGCCACAACGCAAGTAGCCATTCTCAGGTGAAAACCAGGTCTGTCGAGGCGACAGCGTCTGAATGAAACAGCACACGCGCTTGGAGCATGTATATAAGCTGGGTTGGAAGGGGGGAAGAAAGGGGGAGCCTTGAAAACAGAATATGCATATCAAGAGGAATTTAGCATATTTATGGGAATAGTACCATTTATGCCCGTGCATTATGCAGGATTAGCAGCATCAAAGAGAGGGGATAGGAGTAGCATTAATGAAGGGAATGAGTGTTAATAGTATGTAGCTGCAGTAACTAAAACCACTACGTAAACAACTAAAGTATAAACTACATATTATCATCAATATACTAAATATACTCTACAATAAGCTGAGTTACTAACAGTAAGTAATACATTACAATTCGACGTCGTAAACAAATATATATATTTTTTTACGACGTAGAATTCTACGTCATAAATAGTACTATTCCCATAAATATGCTAAATTCCTCTTGATATGCATATTCTGTTTTCAAGGCTCCCCCTTTCTTCCCCCCTTCCAACCCAGCTTATATACATGCTCCAAGCGCGTGTGCTGTTTCATTCAGACGCTGTCGCCTCGACAGACCTGGTTTTCACCTGAGGACGGCTACTTGCGTTGTGGCCGAAACGTCATGAGAATAATTTTATTATGTTTTATTTTTATTATTTTATTACTTCCCTTCTACGTGACTTTACCGAAATAACCAAGAAGATGAATCCCTGCAGTCACGAAAGAAGCTTTCAATCGAAATTTATGATCTTTAACGTCAACTGTGAAGCAGACATTGGGCATGTTTTACAGTTAATAGACCCGCAGTATTAATCAGGACGGCCGCTGGATTCAAACCGTGAAACCTGCAACAATCAACGAACGCGCTACCGCTGGGCGGTAGCACTGGGCAGTGAAGGTCGGTAAAGCGGTGATCGTAAAGCATCGACGTGGGAGCTGAGAAGTACGGTACAACGTTGATGTTTCTGCACTGCCCTCTGTGCAGCAGGTAGCCACAGCCTCTAACGCCTCTTGGTGGATGGTGATCGCCCATCCCAGCACCGTCCCCGCCCCTCTGACCTCCCTCACTCTCCACCTTCCTCTCTCTCATCTCCCCCTCCTCCTCCCCCCCTCCTCCTCCTCCCCCCCTCCTCATCCCCCCCTCCTCATCCCCTCCTCCTCATCCCCCCCCTCCCCCTCCCCCCCTCCTCCTCCCCCCCCTCCTCCTCCCCCCCTCCTCCTCCCCCCCTCCTCCTCCCCCCCTCCTCATCCCCCCCTCCTCCTCCCCCCTCCTCATCCCCCCCTCCTCCTCCCCCCCTCCTCATCCCCCCCTCCTCATCCCCCCCCTCCTCCTCCCCCCCTCCTCCTCCCCCCCTCCTCCTCCCCCCCTCCTCCTCCCCCCCTCCTCTCCCCCCCTCCTCCTCCTCCCCCCTCCTCATCTCCTCCTCCCCCCCTCCTCCTCCCCCCCTCCTCCTCCCCCCCTCCTCATCTCCCCTCCTCCTCCCCCCCTCCTCCTCCCCCCCTCCTCCTCCCCCCCTCCTCCTCCTCCCCCCCTCCTCATCCCCCCCTCCTCCTCCCCCCCTCCTCATCCCCCCCTCCTCCTCCCCCCCTCCTCATCCCCCCCTCCTCATCCCCCCCTCCTCCTCCCCCCCTCCTCCTCCCCCCCTCCTCCTCCCCCCATCCTCCTCCCCCCCTCCCCTCCCCCCCTCCTCCTCCCCCCCCTCCTCCTCCCCCCCTCCTCCTCCCCCCCCTCCTCCTCCCCCCCTCCTCCTCCCCCCCTCCTCCTCCTCCCCCCCTCCTCCTCCTCCCCCCTCCTCCTCCTCCCCCCCTCCTCCTCATCCCCCCCTCCTCATCCCCCCCTCCTCCTCCCCCCCTCCTCCTCCCCCCCTCCTCCTCCCCCCCTCCTCCTCCCCCCCTCCTCATCTCCCCCTCCTCATCCCCCCTCCTCATCCCCCCTCCTCCAGATCCCTCCCCCCCTCCCCACGTGATGTCCCCAGACGACACTCGCCACCTGCCCCCTTCCCAACCCCGCCCCCTCCATGCGAATCGAGCGTCGGTCGCGCAATATGCGCATCACGTGACTCAGGCGTCACGTGATGCGTAACCCTGGCGACGGACGCGCAGAGCGTTGGAGGCGATACATTGCGACGTCCTGCGACTCTCCCCGTGACTCTCCACTCCTCGTGGCTCTCCCCGTGACTCTCTCTCTACTCCCCGTGACTCTCTACTCCTCGTGACTCTCCCCCCACTCCCCGTGACTCTCCCCCCACTCCCCGTGGCTCCCCCCCTGGTCCCCGTGACTCTCCCCGTGACTCTACCCCTGCTCTCTCTACTTCCCGTGGCTCTGGGGAGCGGGGGGGTCATGGCGGTCCGAGCTCCCCCAGCAGCGGCCAGGAGTTTTGACTTCGCCTACGGTGAGAGCCGCGTCTCCCCCTCCTCCTCCTCCCGCAAGCGCCACGGCCCCTGCTGTTGCCTCCAACACAAACCTCACTCGTCACTAGCACTGTGCCCTTAGCAAGGACCACGTATACCGTAGTCGTTTAGAGCAATTAACCTTATTCACAACACAGGCCAGAGAAGTACACTCCCAACTAGGGTTGTTTGAGTTGTGTTTTGCATTACCGGTAATTATCGAATGAAAGCCTGCGAAACCCGCGCGTACTGCTTGTGGTGTGTGAACATCGCCACTGGGGAGACAAAGGCGGCCGGGCGTGGTGCTGGCCACCCACCCCCTCGTGTGCTGTGCCGGCCTTCATAGGTGCTCGCTAACAGCACTTGCCCCCTACAGTCTCCCAGGCTACACGGGGGATCTTTGTCTTTATCCTGTGTGTGTGGGGGGGGCAGCGACTGCGCAGCGATTCGCGCGCTGCGCTACGAACCCGGCGACCAGAGTTGGATTCCCGCTCACGGCCACCACCCGTGACGATTATTTGAACCGGTCCTGGGCCTCCCCTAGGTCGACTCAGCCTCAAACGAATAACTGGTGTGGTGTGTGAACATGCCACTGGGGAGACAAAGGCGGCCGGGCGTGGTGAATCAAAGTCCCGGGCGAAGCTGGGTAGTAAAGCTAGTTTTTAATATATACAGTACTGTATAGATAACCCTGTGAGTGTGAGCCATGCGGCTCTTGACTCGGGTGCAACAGCAACAAACAAAAACATGAACAAGAAACATCTTAAAGCAGAGGTGGGACAAAGTCATTGTTATGCAAGTCCAAGTCGAGTCTGAAGTCATCAAATTCATGACTCGAGTCTGACTCGAGTCCAAGTCACATGACTCGAGTCCACACCTCTGTCTTAAAGTGACTACACGCAACAGAAACATCCAGGAAAAAATATCAGTCTTCCAGAAAAAAACACCGCATTTCAACGCTGTGTGCAAAAATTTCAGTGGGTTGCAAGTCAAACAATAACAACCATAAGACAATTTAGATTAAAGTTATCAGGCTAACTCTGTACTACCAACAAACAAACATGGCTAAACCAAAAGTTTTCAAAATCACCTAAATAAATCTATAAACACAATGTAACAGTGATCATAGGAACTGTGATTCAAATTTAACTATAAACGAGATACATAACATGTACGACCAAACTTTGCAGCCATAGGTGGCTGCATGTGTCACTCCATAACAGCAGGAGTATCAGTAGCAGTATCAAACATTTCCAATACACCTTTAAAGATCAGCACACTATAATGAAAACTCAAGATCGTACTTTTCAGCGGTCATCTGGAACGATACATTTGATTTCACGTCATTCTGAATAGCAGTGGCAGCTCGGGGTGGACAACTCCTCTAGAGCAGTTTTGAGTGAAGATCTCACAGGTAGTGATCCAAGTTGCAGTTTATTGGCGATAGCATTCCAGACCCTGGGGGTAGCAATAGCAAAGGCCCTTCCTCCAGAATTTGTACGGCAATAAGGAATGTGAATCTGGTAAATGAGCGAAGACCTTAGGTCACATTTGTTCTTCGAAACAGTGAGGAGATTCAGCAGGTAATCTGTGATATTTTTTGTAAGTACATCGTACATCGTACTTACAAAAGAGTCGACCAAATACTAAAGCCTGAGAGCGTCCTCGATTGGAGGCTGCGGCAGTGGCGCGAACGTGACATTGTCGGGGCTTGCACCTTCTAACCGGTAATCGGTTCTGAGCACGCGTTGCCCTTTAACAACCCTGCAGACACCACACCACTCGCCCAGTGGCGGCTGGTCTGTATGGGGTGTTGGAATGGCATCCTGTCTAAACATTTGCTTTGACATTTATATGCTATTTATAAACAAGTATTCATCATATACAGTATTACTATTGTCAACAATATGCATGTCCTGGCCGACTGCCGGCTGCCGGCTGCATCTCCACCTCCACCCCTACATTAAATGTGTGTGGATGTTGCGGGCCGTAGACACCACAACTATCACGGGATTTTGTGTGCAACAAATAGACCTTGAATTGAGCAACACTGGGCAATAGAAAGCATAACACATGAACCAGGGAGAAAATACAAATCAGAGACATAACGGGGAAGTAAATGGGCTTGGGCAGAGCTCATCGTTAGAAGGGATGATGGCTGGTCATCGAAACTAACAATGGAGTGGAAGATAAAGGTGGAAAACACACCTGCGGATGTACGCTGGAGAAGGAGCGATGCCATCCGTTCACGTGTTGAAGTGAGATGGATTGTGGCATCGCAAGACCACGAGGGAGGGCGATGCCATGGGGCCATCATGTTATTGCTGGTGACATTGATATTGTTGCTTTTCTTCACAGACCCTGTTTACACACTCTCCAGCGAGAGGGACCAGGCTCGTGTGCGACTCGTGGCTCAGACAACAATGCAGACACTAGTGAGATATCAACGTTCAGAAAGCAATACGAACTCACTCACCCATACACGAAGTCACTGACACTTGCTAGTATAAACATTAACCATGAAAATTATCACACATTGTGCTTGTCTGTCTTTCAGCCACTCCTGGCTGTGTGTTAACATCATTAACCCCCATTCGGGTATTACAAGTCACCTGAAATTACGATCCCAAGGAGCCACTTTAATAAGAAATTTGGTAAAGGATGTAAGCAAGGCACGTGAATGATGAGCTTTGCCGCATTTCTTCACAAATATTTATCTGCAATGTGGACATAGGCAACACCAATATTATGTATCTCCTTTTGATAAAGAGTCAAGGCCAAAACAGCCTGGGCCCTGGGCCCCAAGCATTCGCAGACATTACCACGATTCTCCCAGATCTTCTTTCATTCAGAAGTGCCACAGGTTTTATCTTATCCTGCCCACATCGACTAGTCCATTCTTCACAATGACGAAACCTGAAATATGGATAGGCCAGCCTGAATATTAACATACCCTAACTCACCTACACGCACACATCAAACTGCGTCACTATGTCAGTATGTCCTCACTGCTGCCTGTAGGTGAAGGTGCCACACTATGCCACTATGTTCAGCTCCCTGCCGCACCGGCCTGCATACTCACTTCGTCTGGAGGCCCGTATCCCGCAGCCTGCTCTCCTTATGACGGCACATCGGTGAGAGATCTTACGGATGACATAGCATGAGGGATATGCATGAATGAACTTGCATGTCAGTTGTGCTCTATCACATAACGAAACGTCTCAGAGTGCAGAGCCCCTATTGGAAGCTGTTCCAGTATAGGACAAGGTGACTCAGTACCCGGCTTAGCTATGGGCATTAGTCTACCATTAGGGAGCGACGATTGCCAAGTGAGTGATTTGCAGGTAATTTTCAAATAGAGGAGACCCTTGGATATTGCAGGGGTTGCGTTCTTGGAAAGTGCCACGAAAGCCAAAACCACAATAATCAAATACTAATGCCTTAATTTTTGGAGCTTTCGTGACTGCAGGAATTATTCTTTGGTTTTAGACAGATATCACCAAGATACATAGAGAGAGCAACCCAGGAACATAGAGGGGTGATCGTCTCTGTGGGGTGGCCTTAAATAGATAGAGGGGGGGCGGAGGCAGAGAGAGGGAGGGGGTAGGGAAAAAAAATTACATGTCAATGAGTACGACGGGAGGGCAAGTAAGGTAAGCAGGCTTAGAGGGAGACAGAACACACTAAATTAAATAACCTAGCAACATTTCGATACATAACATTTCGATACTTATGCTAGGTTATTTAATTTAGTGTGTTCTGTCTCCCTCTAAGCCTGCTTACCTTACTTGCCCTCCCGTCGTACTCATTGACATGTAATTTTTTTTCCCTACCCCCTCCCTCTCTCTGCCTCCGCCCCCCCTCTATCTATTTAAGGCCACCCCACAGAGACGATCACCCCTCTATGTTCCTGGGTTGCTCTCTCTATGTATCTTGGTGATATCTGTCTGCTTACATGTCTGTCTATAGTTTTCTGGTTAGATTCTATGTCGCTATTTCATTATACCTGATGATGATTGCTTGTGTTGCAATCGAAACGTCGTATGCTATTATTTAATTTATTCTTTTATCTTTATATGTGACTTTACCGAAAAAACCAAAGAATACTAATGCCTTAACTAAATAATGGGGTTAGGTACACGGGTACCAAAAATAGATCTTTCGAGATTTAAATAAGTACTGTACAGTACTATATGCTAAATTAAAAAATGAAATAAACATGTAAAAACTCTATGCTAAAACATTCCTCGACAGTAAATAGTATAATGACTGAAACACATTCCTGCGGAGGGGGCTGGTAGGAACGTTGGCTAGGGTCAACGGCGGCGTGGTGTATTCCGCAAATATGGCCGACTGTGAGGGCGGGCACAAGCCGGCGTGAGTAGGTTAAACGTTGAGTTTTGTAAGGGCACCACGGGGTGACCAGCCCCTCCCCACCCAGCCCCACCCCTCCCACCCCCCCACCCAGCCCCACCCTCCCCACCCAGCCCCTCCCCACCCTCCCCACCCAAAGCCTCCCCACCCAACCCCTCCCCACCCTCCCCTCTCCACCCAGCCCCACCCCTCCCATTTTTGGATGCAGGACGGACGGACAAAATAATCCCCTGTGGGCTGGTGTAACCAGGAGGTTCCTACCAGTATAAATACTGTACTTACCGATGATGATGGTGAACAAAATAGGGGTGTGTGTGTGGTTGTCCGCGAGTGGGGAGCGGTAGTGTAGTGGTTAGCGTGCTTCGCTATGAAGCCGGTGATCCGAGTTCGATTCCCACTCATGGCCAACACTAGTGATGATTATTATATGAACCGGTTCTGGGCCTCATCCAGGTCGACTCGGCCTCAAATGAGTACCTGGTGTGGTGTGTAAACATCGCCACGAGGGAGACAAAGGCAGTCGGGCGTGGTGCTGGCCATCCATCCCGTCGTGTACAATTCCGACCTTCATAGGTGCTCGCTAACAGCACTTGACCCAACAGTTTGTTAAGGCTATACGAGGAATCTTTGTCTTGTCTGCGAGATGCTTACACGGCAAAGGTTGAGGTGCGACTGACTTGCCTCGCGTCCCTCGCCCGCCCCACACCATGGTATCAGCCACCCAACACCATCACTCTAAAAGCTTCTGGAGTGATACTTCCTGTGTATAACTGCAAAAAGCCAAAACTAAACCCCGTGATAACTAAATTGTTGTTTAGAAAGGTTGCCTGTGATAGGTTGAAACCATTAATGATAAACCCGCGATATTCAAGGGTCTCCCGTATTTGCAAATTTTAACTGAGATTGACACCATATGGTATTAATAGTGAAGGAGGGAAACCCAGAGAACCCAGAAGAATCTCATGCACAACAGAGGGAGTACATACAAACTCCATACAGAAATGCGCCCGAGTCGGGAATCTTGCTGTGGCCCCGGGTCACAGCATGTTTTCCCTGAGTATAACGGCATGTTCCTGCGCCAGTGAAACTTGCCAAATATGGTTTTCCTCTTATATGTTATGTCCAGCCAGTGAAACTTTTTAACTCAGTAGTGGGTGAGTTTCTTTGATGCCATTGGAATAGAACAGAAGTCATGTGATGTGCGATATTGTAATACCTGCCGGATTCTGGTGGTGTGAATTCTGGGCCTGCAGGCCAGGGAGAGAGACTATGTGCGGCAATGAGGAAGTGAGGGGGCGGAGCCGATATCGATTCTTTCAGCGGTGAGGATCACAGCAAAATACACACACGTACATGCGCAATGTATTTGTGTGTTGAGGTGTGAGTTATGGTGTTAACGTGGTGTTGTGTTGTTTTCAGGCCTCATATTCCCTTCCTGCTGTCACATCCCGTAGAGCTCATCCTGCAGCAACCCCGGTGAGTTCTGTGTGTATGGTAAGTGTGTAGTGTGCTTCTGTGTGCCTTGAGAATAATACACACATTTGTAATGCGCACTTGATTCAGAGGCACGGGAAACTACAAGTAAGCGGGAAGGCAGCAAGAGCCAGCGCCAACAATTTCCCAAGCTCTGTGGCCTATTTTGAGATGTTTGGCTAACAAATTAATTTACACGTGGGAGGAAGCCGTGTCTGATGATGTGTTCTGGGTCCTATATTGGAGTACCCGGAGAAACCCAAGTGTGCGAGGGGAGCAACACTTCTATCGCCATATAGTTGGAAACAGATGAAGATTAATTTAGTTGCTGTAAATTTCGATTTAAAGCTTTCGTGACTGCAGGGATTCATATTCTTGGTTCTTTCGGTTACTTGCTGTACTTCCATTTCCCGGCAAGCCAGGGTATGGTGAACGCGATGCCCATGGGAAAGGTGTTTCACGACATTTGTGTGATCCACTGTCCCTCACTGCCTCCACAGTGCTGAATCAAGGCACCATTGTATAGCACTGGCGTCCTGTGAGTAATGGTATTGGGGAAAGGCTGGCATTTGTTGGCAATAATCCAGGCAGGTTCAACCTGAGCAGTAAGGACACAGCAGACGTTTGCATGCATGGCTGGTGACAATTAAAATCTAAATGTTACCCTTCTACTCTAAAGAGAGGCCACTGCCATAAACAAACCTATGACATTTTATTTTTCTAATGCATTGTTTGTTGAAAATGTGGTGAGATTTTTGGTAGTGCTTAAAAGGCTGGGCATGAACACCTGCAGTGTAATTGTCAATAATGTCAGCATGGATCATTAGCATTAACTCTTGGAATGTATTTTATGAATATGGTGAAATTCCTCTTGTTTATGACTAAACATAACTTATATTATCCATGGCTCTATAGGCTTTTCCCCAATTTGCTTTACTTAGAATGCATCTTATGTTATTTTTCTGCACTACTTTCCCTGTGGCTTTCCCCCATGTCCCTTCCTTGTGCTACCCTCCGTGGGTTGTAGGGCGGTGGGCGAGGAGCATGGCGTGGCCAGAATCCCTGCCGTACGTTCCGTGTCTGTTCAGACAGATTTCAGGGACAGCGAGACTCAAACAGAGCCGTTCTCTCCTCCCTACACCGTCCCACCCGGAGTGCCAATGCCAGAGATCCTCACATTAACCGCCCTGACACACGGTGAGAACACAGGCCCACACTGCTCGACCCAGCACACTGTATTACATGCATACACCACACAATCCAATTCTACACACCACACCCCGCCACGCAACATACCATCTCACACGAGACCCCACCACACCACACAACGCTACGCATCGCACCACGTGCTCTACTATACTGCTCACCGTGGTACATCACCCAACACGCACACCACCCTGCACCGTGTGTGTAATGGCCGTGGTGTTCACAGAGCGAGGTCTGCCGGCGGGGTTGGCGGAGGTGGAAATGATCGAGCGGCTTCGGGCTCGGCGAGCGTGGGAGGAGTCTCTGCCGTCCTTACATGATGCGGAGCGGAGAGACCAACGAAGGCGACTCATGGAGGAGGCCGAGCGAAGAGAGTGGGCGTTCAGAGAGAGGGAGATCCACCTGTGAGAGACAGAGACACGCGGAGACACTTCGACACGCGGAGACACCTCGACACACGCAGAATCTTCAGGGAAACGGACACTCATATGAGATACAGGCACATGGGGTTTCAGGAAGGCTGAGATCTGAATACGAGAAATGGAGGCACATGGATACATATGTGGGATACGGAAACACGCAGGAGCACGTGGAGTGAAATGGGAACATGCAGAGAGATGTGCCGCATGAGGGGTACGTGGGAAACAGCAGAGCAATGCAGAGTGCTTTGTGGTTAATAATGATGATTAATTCATTTTTGATACAGCGCCCTTAACGCCGAGGTGTCTCAGAGCGCTTTATATGTAATAAGCAACTTGCATCATATCAAACATTTGAAAGGGCACCACAAGTGGCAACTCTGTGGGCACAAGGTGACCCAAAACCTGGCCTGCAATCTGACGTTAATCTGCCAGTAGGAGGTGATGATTGCTACGTGTAATCCCAATTGATTCATTTGCAGGTAATTTTATAATTTGGAAAATGTGGACCATGGTGCTGGCACACAATGGCCTACTCTTGCGAATTACATCACTGGATCTTTAATGTACACCGTGAAGCAGACAGTGCGCAGTATTTTATGGTTTATAGATCTCAGCAACTTCTAGGGCGGGCATCAGAATTGAATCACGAACCTCTGCAACAAGTGGCGAATGCTCCACCGCTGGCCCTTGTCACATGCAGCCTACAGGAGGAGCGTATGCGGGTGTTGGAGGAGTTGTTGTGGCGCCGTGAGCATGGCCGGGCCAATGCGATTGCCGCTCAAGTGGATGTGAAGAGACGCGCCGAGGAGGAGCTCAGACGCGAGGCGCAGGACGTGATCCGCAGACAACACCTGCGCTGTGAGAACCCTCGCCCACACGGCCAGCAGCGCCATCCCTCACTCGTGTACTCGCACGTGTGAACCTCAATACAATTCATCACTCATCCACTGATGCGCCCTTGCACATCCACACTTACTTGCCACTCACCATCTATTCTCCTCATCGTGGTGGATTTCAGGTTTATTTTACAGAACCTCTTAAATGCAAACACCTCTCAAGACACTGCAAAAAAATCAAGACTTGCACATTCTTCTTCTTTTTTTTTGAGGGGGAGTGTTAGATTATGCTGATATACATTTGGATAGATTAACACGGTCAGTCATAGGCTGACCGATTTAAAAAAAAGAGTTGGGTCTGCTGTGTGGACAGCCAAAGTGTGTGAATTTTATACTGCAGAGGCAGTAGTTTTCAGGTTTTAAGTTTATTTTGTTTAACCAGGTGAGAACTATCAATAGTGTTATCAGTGATGTGAGTGGTTATCAGTGATGTGAGTGGTTATCAGTGATGCGAGTGGTTATCAGTGATGTGAGTGGTTATCAGTGATGTGAGTGGCTATCAGTGATGTGAGTGGCTATCAGTGATGCGAGTGGTTATCAGTGATGCGAGTGGTTATCAGTGATGCGAGTGGTTATCAGTGATGCGAGTGGCTATCAGTGATGGGAGTGGTTATCAGTGATGCGAGTGGTTATCAGTGATGCGAGTGGCTATCAGTGATGCGAGTGGCTATCAGTGATGCGAGTGGTTATCAGTGATGTGAGTGGTTATCAGTGATGCGAGTGGTTATCAGTGATGCGAGTGGTTATCAGTGATGCGAGTGGTTATCAGTGATGCGAGTGGCTATCAGTGATGTGAGTGGTTATCAGTGATGCGAGTGGTTATCAGTGATGCGAGTGGTTATCAGTGATGCGAGTGGCTATCAGTGATGCGAGTGGCTATCAGTGATGGGAGTGGTTATCAGTGATGTGAGTGGTTATCAGTGATGCGAGTGGTTATCAGTGATGCGAGTGGTTATCAGTGATGCGAGTGGTTATCAGTGATGTGAGTGGTTATCAGTGATGCGAGTGGTTATCAGTGATGCGAGTGGTTATCAGTGATGCGAGTGGTTATCAGTGATGTGAGTGGTTATCAGTGATGCGAGTGGTTATCAGTGATGCGAGTGGTTATCAGTGATGCGAGTGGTTATCAGTGATGGGAGTGGCATTGAAGGATGGGCGTGGTGGGGATGCAATCAAGGAGGGAGAAGGGATTTTTAAGATGGAATTGGTGCTAGTCATGTCAATTAAAGTGGACACATCACAGAGATACAATCCGCTGCTGCTGACGCGGTTGTCTGGCTTGACCACCTCAATGTGAAATTGTAGTTGTTGCTCTGCCTCTACATCAGCCATACAAAAGAAGAAGAAGATTGGTTGGAGAATGTCCGGAGGTGGTGGGGAGGCAGTGAGGAAAGGACCGGTCATGGGGTGGAGGGGAATGTAACTGTTTACTCAACCATTTGTAGTGGCATCGTGGGATGCCACTGCATGATGTGTGAGCCGGGCTGTGTGAGGCACGATCTACGATTCTACGGCATGCACACTCCGGACAGCCTGCACTGCGGATGCAGTACCGGCCCTAGCGGGGGCCAGCTGAGATCGCCAATCGAGGATGGATGACATTACACTTCACGTTCATGGCACTCTGTGTGAACCCGGAGGCCTGGTGACCGGAGGTACCAGCCCGGGGGCACCCAAGGAGGGGGCTGGGGGAACACGGGACCAGGACCAGGTCCTTCTGGAAGGCTCGAGAAGGTGGGCGTGGCTCGGGGCGGAGTGAGCCTCGCGACGGGCAATAGAAGCCGGAGCTCTGAACGGGTCGGGCGGCTGTAGCAAGAATCAAGACTCAAGTCGTCACCGAGAGAAGACCTGCCCGACTACGAGACCCGGACCCGAGCCAGGGTCTGGTCTGGGGTCGCCACCCAGTGTGTGCTAGAGTTAGTTAGCCGGAGGGGATACCTCCCTAGGTGAGCTGGTGAAGGGGCAGATATACCCCTTCGTGTCTGGGGCTTGATTGTTAATAAACATGTTGCCTCTAAAAGCCTCCATCTCCCTGGTGCGAACCTCTACACATTTATTATAAGTTCACCAACACTTTTTAGCTCACCACTCACTCACCCACTCATTTATACATCCAATGAAAAGCTAACCCATATATACCTTTCACTCATCCGCTCTTTCACACAGCACTTATTTACTAACCACTCAATTACCACTCACTATGCACTCAATAACCACTCATTTAATCATCTCTAGGCCATCATTCAATCGCTACTTAGATGCCACTTACGTACTCACCGACTCACTACTCGTCATCCTCACTAACCATTTACTCTATCCTACTGCCTAGCCAGGTGGCTCAGCGGTCTTGCCAGATGACTCAGTGGTGATCAGTCTATGGATAGATTCATCGCTGCTTCAGGAATGTGGAATTTTGCACCACTGGCTCAGGGCTGTCAACTGAAGATGAGCACTGCCCCAATGCTCCTTTGAGCAGGAAATCACTTGGACTTTTTGTAACTATTTCCTCATTACTCACGTATGGTGTGGCTGCGTGGTGGGTACAGCGGTGCGCAAGCTGGTGGCGCGTTGGGTGCGAGTGGTGGAAGGAGCCGCGCCAAGCCGAGACGTTATTCACGATTACACTGACCCTGCGTCACGGGCGTTCGCTCCCCTCACTCGGCTGGGACAGTTCACCAAGACCCAGCACGGGCATCCCACGGAGAAACAAGGGAGGCAGGTTCAGCCCCAGCTGCTCAACTCCTACCATGGTAGCCCACATGCCACGCAACACCACACTGCACCACACTGCACCACACTGCACCACACCATGCTAGACTGTACCGGGCAGAGGTGGTGCACACCTGTCATCCAACACTAGAGGAGAGGGTTGGTGGATCTCCACAAATGTCGTTAAACATTCTGTGGGCTTCGAGGTCACCATACCTTGGGATTTAAAGAGACGGCGGTACAGCCAGTGGATTAATCTCCATCTGTTTCCATATGTATGGATTGTTGCTCCCCTAGCAAGCATATATTTTCTCTGGGTGTTCTGGATTAATTCCTCATGTATAAACACTCATTAATTAGCTGAAAAATCTTGAATTCTAGAGGGCCACACAGCTAGGGCAATTATTGGTAGTGCCAGCTCACTGCGTGGCTGCCTTCTCTAAGCCCGTGGTTCTTTGCACCTCCGAGTCGTTTTCTCCTGGAAAAACTGTGTGGTGCTGTACAAGTCTAAATGATTATTATTATTATTTTACTACACCATGCCAAGACATTGTATGCTACACCAGTATTATGTTTTATTTTTATTATTTTATTACTTCCCTTCTACGTGACTTTACCGAAAGAACCAAGAAGATGAATCCCTGCAGTCACGAAAGCTTTAGATCGAAATCCAACTATACTGTACCACACTACACCAAGCCATACCATATTTTGTGTTCTAAATGTCTCAGTCTCTATACCCTCTCATGTCCCATTGTGCTCCCATGTGTCAATGTGTCACCATCGTGTCTGTCAAGCTTGGTGGAAATGGAATTGTGCATGCCACCATCCGTGTGTCTCCATAGTCGCCTGATTCTGTCTCTCTATATCTTTTGTGTCTCTGCCAGGTCTTCTGGAGCTGGAATCGTGTCTCCCAGCATCCTTGTTCAACGTCCGTGTGTCTCAGCCGAAGATGGACCCGCGGGCTGCCCGTCAGATGGCTATGATGGATGAGGCCTACAAGGTGCCATGGTCTCCCTGACTCGCGCTGCTTTCACCATTTGCCCGACTTTCCCAGACTCTCCCTGCTACACAACAATGTCTTGTATCGCGTTTGCTCATTTCTCACTTTGCCACATGTTGTTGTCTCTTTCAGGTCTCCTGTCCCTGTGTCACACCATAACGGAGTCCAGTGACCATCTGAATTTGTCTCTTATGTCTCTTTTATCTCTCGTGTGTCTCATGCCTTACGCATCTTACGCATGTCTCATTGTCTCTTGTGCCTGGGGTTCCAGTGTTGTGTCCGTGTGTCTACTGCATTTCTGTTTCAGGCCTTGAGGGAGCGTCGTGAGATGCAGGTGTCACCGCCCCTGCGTTTCCTGGAGCAAGTAGAGAAACCAGAACCAAGGCCTCCCACACCAACCACTCACACATCCAGTCAGGTAAAAAGACAGAGATCCTCTGCTTAGCCTCATAGACTATAGTGGTAAGTGCTGTTTGTGAGATCAATACTCGCCATTCGCCACTAAGTGACAGTGACGTCACCATGGCGCCTGTGCCAGGCCAGGTGCACTTTGAGGCCACGTGAAGTGTTGAAGGCTCACTGACAGGAGGTCACGGGACAGACCCAGGTGCCATGGATTGGCTGACTGAGATGACTGGTAGATGCACCAGCTGTACCTCCTACTGTGCCAACTTCCTGCATTTTAGCCACCGGGCACTCCGCTCGTTGTTGTGAGCATCGCTCCTCTGGCCTGAGTTGTTGTTGGAAGGCGACTGCCTCCAACTGCCCAGCAGCGTCGTTCACGAGCCTCCTCTACAGAGGCCATCTTGACAACGCTGGTACCAGTCTTCGGCAAGTTCACTCAGCTCCACATCCCCCCGTACCTTTTCAGTCCATCTCTTCTCCAGCCCATGTTTGGCCTGTTTAGCCCTCTCTATGTGGCCAAACAGAAGCTGCTTAGGCATGCACTGGCTGGGCATGTGTAAGAGACATATCTATACAGACCCATATATACCAATACACACCTATCCATACCTACCACAACAACTGCACATCACATACCCAGCCAGGTGCATACCTATAAACACTTAAACACACTGGGACACAACAATTGCACACATACAGTACCTTGTACACACCTATTAACATAATCTAAACTTAGTCGGGTGAGCGCATCAGTACATACTTACACATTGTAGGTCTTGTGAAGGGCCTCTGCCCAGTGTTTGTACCTGGTTGAGGTTGCTGGCCAGTACTTGATCCAGTATTTTTCTGCTCCAGCTGTAGTCAGCATGCCCTCTCATAGCTCTACCAGATATCAGGGTGCCCTAGTGAATCTTTTTCCTGCAGGCCAGCCACCTGATAGTACAGAGGCATGAACCCATTGTACCGCCTTTGGAGGCTGCCCTTATCAGCAGGTGTATAATGTGGAGTTTTCTCGTGTCGTTTCACATCTTATCTGGGGACATTGTTGAGGCCAGTAGGCTGGCCATTCCTGCAGATGCGCTGACGTACTTGCACAGTTAACTCTGGTTATATACAATGGCGGAGCCAGGGTTTTCAGGTAGGGGGGGCAACCCCATCCAGCAATGAAAAATGATAGGCGCTGTTAGTAAGTAAGGACTTGTCCCTTGCTTTTTATTTGACGTGTGTGCGGCGATGGCGCAGCCATCGATTGAGCGTCGAACTCGAACCGTGTGTGATCGGCATCGCGCTCGCTGAAGGTGTTGATGCCTTCAGGGAAGTCGTGTACTGTATACGCAACTGCGCACAATTTTGTGAGTCACTTATAACTGCTTTGCTGTTACTTATTGACAATTATGGACTCAGACTATTGTCATATCATCTCATGGAGTCCCTGGCACGTAATAGTATGCTACACAGTGATGGTGGTGGCCGCAAAATGTCAATTTATTACTAATAAACCCCAATGATCCGATCGAAATTAGGGATTTCGATTGGATCATTGGGGGGGCACGTGCCATCCCCCCCCCCCCCCCCCCCCACTGACTCTGCCAGTGGTTATATATATTTCTACTTCTCATGTTATTCTCTGTTGAAAAATGAAGTTAATTTATCTGCTGTAGCAAACAGGAAGGCTTCCACTTCCAATCATAGTTTTTATAGTTATTTCTGCATCTAGGGTATGAAGAGTAATATGTCCATTCATTATCTCCTTGAATCAACTAAACCCTGTTTCTAACAGAAACTCAGATGTGACTGATAACGCTTAATGATCCAAGCCTACACCGTTTTTCACTCTTGCTCGTTCAAATGTAGTTTTTGTGTATGCACCAGAGATAATGTCTCTGATGGTTTGCAGCTGTGACTGGCATCCGCTGCTTGATAGGTGAGGTTTATGACTAGCTTGTGAAGCTGCTTAAACTGTCCTAAGTAACCAACTAAGCCTCACCATAAACCGTGCATAATGAAGGAGATGTAACAGATAGCCAAAATAAATTGGTGGGCCTATTCCCATTTATTACAATATCCCATGACTGATACCGAGAAGGCATTCTACAGTCTACGGGTTTATGTAAGTTAAACTATTGACTGCTGCAAGCATGATTGGTGGTATGGGTTATGAAGCAGGTGAAGAATGTGGAACCCCATTTTCCACATCCTCCCATCATTAAAGGGTTCAAGCATGTTGAGGACTCGGGCAACCAGACTGAATGTTTTGTTTCATCTGCACTGTGTTCACCTCCACAGTGCAGGTCACAACAACTCACTCGCCCAACTACCCACTCAGTCACTCACTTACCAGCTCACCTACCTACTCACCTCACTGCAGGTCCCATCATATTTATTTATGCTTCTTTGCTAACACTGCTCCACTTTGGAATTCCCTCCCATTGTCTCTTTTCCAAAGACATTATTACCTTGTTCATTTCAGAAAACGTGTTAATTCTTTATCGATATTTTGTACAACTTTGACGGTGGTGTTTGTTGTTGGCTACTTGACATTTTAGGCATATGGGTCTGTGCTCAGCAACTGTGTTCTAAAAATCTGCAAATATTTTATGTCTGCTCTGGTCCTAGACACGATCAATAACTATACAATCCTGAGTGTTTGGATCATGCTTCCTCCCCATGCGTTGCTCCCATACCTGTAGGAGGAGGATAAGAGGGAACTGGCCGCCATTTTTCTGCAAAAACTTCTGCGTGGGCGGTCCACTCAGAATGAGGTGCGTGGCAGTGGTGCAACCTGCCCACTGAAATATGTAACAGATACCCTGTGACATCGCATACACTTATCACACACCACATACTCACTGACACCTCATCACACATGGTGACAACTCAACACTGGCTTTCATCACTAATATCTGAGCACACACCACATCCATGGAAATCTCAACTAATACCTTCACCTTGCCACACTACAAGCTCAGACACCTAATAATGACAATTTCAACATGGATATCTTGTCACTGACATCTTGTCACCATATCTAAGATTGTTTTACCACTCTGAGTCAGCGTACCTCGGTGGATGTCACCTGAACAGGTTTTAAGAGGCCAGTGATTAAACCTATAGCCACCGATACATTTTAAATGACAGGTGATGTACTGGAGAGTAATATAGACACCCCTGATGAAGACTGCTATGTCTTGCGCAGCCTGACTGTTGAAACGTGTTGGCAAAAACCTGCAAAATTTGAGGCGTTTCCTGTCATTTTTCCTCAGCAGCAGCTTTTCAGAAGTATTTAAAAGTCATGTCCCAAACTGCACCTTGCTCTATGCTGCCTTGTACTTCTGTACAAGTTGTTGCATGCTGTTTATTTAGTTATTTAGTAGTTGAGGAAGCCAGGTAATATCACTGCCCAGGTCTCTTTATCACAGTACCCCAAATAGATCACAACTGCTTATGATCTTGGCCCATGTGAACTGAGGTTGTTTCTTGTACGAGGACAGCATGATCATGACAGTATGGGCACTGTTTCTACAAGTGTGGAATCAAATGGGCATTGTTGCAGCCTCAGCACAAACACTTTGGATGTGGATATGAAACATGTGTCTGTATCCCTGAGTCCCTGTGTCTTCATCTCCTGGTGCAGATGTTTGAGCAGAAGGAGTTGAGGCTGGAGCTGATCCGGGAGGTTCGCAGCACACATGCGCTGCAGGCAGCAGAGCAGGCAGCATTGCGAGCCACCAAGCAGGCCACACTTGCATTGCAGAGACAGCACGCGGTGCACCAGAATCAGGTACCCACGTGACTTGCAGCACACTATGAACCACTAACTTATGAAAAGATGTACTTGGAGAGTCAGGTACTTACAATGTCACATACTCAGAGACCCACATATTCCAACTATACACATGGTAGGTATACAGTAGAACCTCGGAGATCGAACGCCCCAGAACTCGAACAATTCGGTGATCGAATAAGATTTTCGACCATTTTTTGCCCTGGACGTCAAACAAGAATTCGGAGGCCGAACAACTGGAAAGAACCGGTTTGGGCCGAGATGCGTAGCCAGGGCAACCGAGACAAAGGCGAACGACCTAGTTTACACGTAGCTCTCGCCCAGTGCAGACCCGCAAAACATCTTCATCAGTTTTTAGTAAAAAGGCCCTCAAGTGAATCAAAGTTAGTGCTAGAAAAAAGGCGAAGAAAAGAAAGAACCCCAGAAGGGCAGTTACCCAACGTTTTTATGGAGGGGGACTCTCCTTCCAAGCAACACCGACACCTCCTCCTCCCCTCCTCACCACCTTCCACTCAAGCCATCCACTCTCCTTACTACAGGTAAAGTGAAGTTCGATTTCATTTATTATATTAATTATAACTGTGTTTCTTGTTTTTTGTATGCTTTTATGTACTGTACTGTATTTTAATATTGTAAACGTTGTGTAAAAATGGCCCATAATAGGAGCATCCTTGGGTGGGGAACCAATTAATGCTATTTCCATTCATTCTTATGGGGAAAATAGATTCGGTGTTTGAACAAATCTGAGATCCCTTCAAGCGACCTCTGATCCACAGACATAGGGCAGCACTTGCCACTCTTTTTGCATATGAGAGTGAGGTTCGTGACATGACAGCAAAACTGATATTTTAAGTCTCAGCGTTTGAATGTTGCCAAATTAAGTGCAGAAAAAATGTGTTGCTGTTTTTGTGCAGTCATTGGTGACTGGGTTTACTCTGATGAGCATGGTTGGCTATGTATGGTGCAAAAGAAGTTATACATATGTAGTAAGTTGATGAGGAGACGATGAGGAAGTTGAGACACACTGTTTATTAACTCCGGGACAGATACAATAGTTGAAGGGGTATCGGCCCCTTCACCCGTACTATGGGAAACCCACCCTAGTACTAAGCCCTCTGTCCTGTCCCCCAGTCCTCCTCTACTGGGCTACGGGAGGCTGACTGATCTGGCCCTGGCAAGCACAGATCTCGGCACCAGCTAACCAGCCTTGCCCTGATAAGGGCAGCGGTCTGGAAGCTCTTGGGCCGCGCCACTGGCTTACCCGGCTCGGCCCTTATAAGGACGGCGAGACCGGGGAGTCCCAGGGCCTAATCTCCGAGTCTTGGATCTTCACTGGTCAGCTTCGTGTCGAACTGCCTCGAGCTCTTTGGGTTCCACCTTTTATAGGGATCGCCTCCGAGGGCTGGGGGCGTGGGCAATAACTGATGCGGACGTCGGTGTGACCCCCCGTGTATGTGAGTGCCGACAGCCCTGTGTTTGTTGTCCGCCGTTTCTCCCGTAATAACCCCTACATCACCCCCCCCTGTACAGCTCGCAGCCGTCCCGGCTGCAACAATCCCTCAACCCCCAAGAATAAAGATTAACACCGTCAATACACGTGTGCCTCGTAACAGTAACAATAACAAGAACAAGCGTAACATCAACCGATGGTTCCCTAAAAAAAAAAAAACCCCCCACCCGGAACCGCAACACATATACAGAACGGTATAACAGCACATGCAATCAGCATATCGCGATCACACGCGTACATTGAAGCACAATAGCAAGCAAATCTGCAGGCGACCAACACACCATCAATCCCGTCGTAACTTTTCAACCACAACACAGTTATTCCCTCTCATGCAACGACCGCATCGCACACAGCACCTCGCAGCATAATACAGCCCAAAAAAAACATTTTTTTTTTTTCAATTAAGCCCATCGCGCACGGTGACCCACGAGATGGTACAGCACAGGATACCCGACGCTCCCACGTTAATAATTAACTTTACCATCAAGATAACAACTCCACGCAGCAGCGCACACACTCCCTTTGAAACTCAGCAACCACAGCAGACTCTCCGTCCATTCCCAACACACGCACACACTTACATGGACAGCAAGCAACAAGCAGATAGCGTGGTCATCGTTATTACACACACATACAACCATTAAAAAAAACATATATACAATGAGCGGGTTCCGCAGCAACGGAACACGCGCGGAAAGCTAATCATAACAACCGGCGCGTTTTGGCGCGAGTCCGTGCAGCGGGCCCGTCACAAGGGGCCGGCTTGGTAGAGTCAGTGGCAGGTGTCGCATCAGCAGGTGCCTGGTCGTCCGGTTTCCCGGACGTGCCAGCGCCGCCCCCCACGGGGGAGGCTGGCAGCCCAGAGGGCTTCAGTCCTGGGGCTCCTGAAGACGGGACAGTCATTAGTGGATCAGAGGCTGGCATCGATCCCGCCCCCCCGGAGTCAGAGGACTCCCCACATGTTCGGCCATTTACGTGGGAGGAAGCGTGCGGAGCAAAAAATGGCTTTAACCGTGAAGGGTGCACAAACCACCGACGCTTCCCCCACTTAATGCGCACACATTGAGGCCGCACAACCTGCACAATTTCAACGGGGCCCCTCCATGGTCGCAACAACTTAGCCGAGGTGGCCAATGGCACCTGAGGGCAGTGCAACCATGCTCGGTCGCCCGGGTGCCATTCGTGCGTGTGAGTCCGGCGCGACCGCAATCTCTCGTTTTGTTTCTGGCGAGAGTCAGAGTTTTGCATGGCCGCCTGCCGTGCCTCCGCCAAGCGAAGGATGTTAAATTTAACATGGTCGGCGATTTTCGACTTAGCATGAGGCGCGGCAATCGTCAGCTGAGTCGCGACAGGCGGGTCAACCTCGCGACCATACATCAAAAAAAATGGCGAGAACCCGGTCGCCGCGTGAGGAGCCATCCTGTATGCCGCCAGGACTCCCCCGATCCGTAGATCCCAATCGTTTTGGGACTCAGATACCTGGTGGGATAGCATGGACGTAAGAGTCCTATGCAAGCGTTCCACCATCCCATCCGTTTGTGGATGGTAAGGCGAGGTACGAACTTTCTTTGTACCCAAAAGGCCACATACCTCGTGTAAAAGGGTACTAGTGAAATTCTTTCCCTGATCGGTCAACAACCGTTCCGGAGCGCCTTTGTCGAGGACGTAGCCCTGAACAAAAGCCTCCGCAACGGCCGCTGCGGACTGGTTGGCGAGGGGCCAAGCCATAGGCCATCGCGTGAAATATTCCACGCCAACCAGCAGGTACTTATTACCCCTCGGCGTGGAAGGAAACGGTCCCAAAATATCAAGGGCGACCAGCTCGTTAACCCGGGTGACCGAAATGGACTGGAGCGGTGGACTGGCTCCCTTCGCCGGCGGCTTCCGTTGTGCACACTGGGTACAGGACCGCAGCAGATCGTCCACGTCTCTTGCCATGCCCGGCCAAAAGTAATTAAGCTGGAGCATGGCAAGTGTTTTGAGGGTACCCAGGTGCAGGAGCCGTTCATGAGCAGCCCATACAGCCCTACCCCTCAACGTGGAAGGCACCACCAGCCTGTGACGGCGGATCGTCCCGTCCCAATGCATGAGTAAGCCCTGGCACCACCCCCATGAGTCAACGCCCGACTTCCCTTGACCTGATCCTTCCGCGCGACGTCGTAGCGCCAGGAGGGTCGCATCCTCCATTTGGAGGCGACCCCACTCAGTACTTGACAAGCCAAGTAGGGAATCACTCCCACCCTCCGAAATAGGACCAGCGTCCGAAGGAGTATCAACTGCGGCCGCAAGAACCCGATCCCGGCCGTCACTTGCCGATTTGCAACGGCCCGAACCCAAGAAACAAGTGCAATCCGGGGCGATCGGCAGGCGTGATAGGGCATCGGCGTTGGTGTGGCGAATCCCCTTCCGGTAAGTTGTCTCAAAATCGAAATCCTGCATGATCTCGAGCCATCGGGACAACTGCCCCGATGGCTGGTTAATTCGTAGGGCATACTGCAACGCTGCATGATCTGTACGGACGGTGAAATGCCGGCCGTACAGATATGGCCGGTACTGTTGGATAAAGAACACGATAGCCAACAGTTCGCGGCGGGTGACGCAGTACCGCTGCTCGGCCGGGGACAGTACTCTACTACCATAAGCCACAACGCGCTCCACGCCACCCACAATTTGTGACAGCACGCCTCCAATCCCGGTATTGCTTGCGTCCGTGTCGAGCACGAACGGCATGGAAAAATCGGGGTAGCTTAACGGCGGGGCCCCCACCAGGGCATCCCGAAGAGAGACAAAAGCGGCGTTCTCCACCGGCCCCCAATGAAATTTGACCCCTTTTGACGTCAAGGCATGTAGTGGCTTAGCGATGGAAGCAAAGTCCGCAACAAACCGGCGGTAATATGAAGCAAAGCCGATGAAGCTTCTAACCTCCCCCACCGAGGTGGGAATAGGCCAGGAGCTGACACAACGCGTTTTGGCGGGATCGGTTGAGATACCTGACCGGCCGACGATGTGACCCAAATATTTAACAGATTCGCGCAGCAAATGGCACTTTTGTGGCTTGAATTTCAAATTAGCAGCGCGCATTTTGAGAAAGACGGCCCGAAGCCTATCAAGGTGTTCCTCGAACGTCTTACTGAATACGATAACGTCATCCAGGTAAATCAAACACACCTCCCATTGCAAGCCAGCGAGGACCAATTCCATCAGGCGCTGGAACGTCGCGGGAGCAGAGTGTAATCCCATGGGTAAGCGATTGAATTGGAAGAGGCCGTGCGGCGTTCGGAAAGCTGTTTTGGGCCTGGATTCGTCGTCCAAGGGAAGTTGCCAAAATCCTGAGAGCAAATCCAAAGTGGAAAAGAATCGCGATCCCGCGAGGGCATCCAGCGATTCGTCCATTCGAGGAAGCGGATAAGCATCGGCCACCGAGATCTTATTTAATCGCCGGAAATCAACGCAGAACCTTAGGGACCCGTCGTGCTTTTTGACCAACACTATGGGTGCACCCCAAGGGCTGGTCGAGGGAGAAATGATGTCCGATTTCAACATGTCATCTACAGCCGATTTGACATGATCCTTTTCGGCGGGACTTAACCGAAAAGGATTTTGGCGGATAGGAGCGTTGTCACCGGTGTCAATATGGTGGCGTAGCAATTTGGTACATCCGATATCGTATTTGTGTTTACTGAAGACGTCGGAAAATTCTCGCAATAAGGCGCGTAATCTAGCACGTTGTGCGTCAGACAGGTCAGGTGACTCAGCACACAACGCATCCAGCCAAACCTCGTCAGCGTCTGAGGCTAATCGCGTTTGAGAATCGGTGGCCACCTGGCCAATGATCGGCGTTTCCGCAGGTACCGGAACCGCATGTGCGAACACGGTACCTTGCGAAACCACTGCCGTCCGTGTCCCGACATTGAGGACCGCGATAAACGGGTCCCCATCCCCTTTAACAATAGTCTGGGCCGTCACCAGATCTGGCCCACTCACCCCGGCTCTAGATGGTCCCAAAATAACGCCCCGGTCAGAGACTCCTTTATCGAACGGTCGACGCAAGCGCAAGGGTACCAACATCTGTGCCCCCGGGGGTACACGCACCGTCCGAGCAACAAGCGCCTGTACCGTAGCACAGGCAACACGCACGGCAGGGGTGGCAGGTAGGAACGTCATACGTCGGCCCGATGGAAGCTCGATGCATTGCTGGTCAATCAGAATTTTGATGGGCAATTTGGCCAAAAAGTCTGTCCCCAACAGGCACGGAATAGCCAGCGAGGAGGAGACGAACACCGGGCCAGATAGTTTAATGTCCCCTATCGAAATTTGCGCTCGAATTTGACCGATAATACCCAACGAGCCCCCATTCGCAGCGTAAAACGGTATATCGACAGGGAGCAACGGGCGACTCTGAACGGGCAGGATATTATAAATCAAATCTGAAATGATAGTTGCCGAAGCTCCCGTATCGACCAATAGCCGTACCTCCACCCCGTCAATATGCCCCGCGACAACGGACGACCCCGCTGATGCAGCCACAACTCGGTGAGCCAACTCGGACCATTGGCCCGGTTGGAGCGCCCTCCCCGACATGCCGCGACCCGACGCACCAGCACCCAACCCCCGAGAATTGTGTATCGGACCATGTGATAGGAAAGTGGGTGTGTGTGCAGGCCGAACATGTGGGGTGCCATGACTTGCCCGAGGATGTTGCGAAGGCTTGTGAGGAGGGCCGTCCGCAGCTCCAGGTCTCGCACCGCGCTGTCGAGGAGCCCGGCATCCGGACGCCACGTGGCCCCGGAGGCCACAATTATAGCAGACGACGAGCGTTCCAGAGGACTTGGGCTGGTCTCGGTGGCTTGGAACGTCCCGAGCCGGTCGCTCGGCAGATCGCCATCCTGCAGAACGATCCGCAGCGAAGGCTCCCTCCATTCCAGAAGAGGTTGCCGCCACGGTGTGTCGTGCAGCAGCTTTGTTCGCCTTCCTCCGCTGGGAGATGAGATTGGCGTGAATGTGCCTTGCAGCCCGCAGTGATGACATATCCGCATCGTCCTGCGCTAAGATGGTGAAGTCCAGATCGTCAGCCAGCAGCAAAATTTTCTCGGCCACCATCGCATCGATCCCCTCTTCATCCATACGCGGGAAAGCGTCTTTCGCCAATGACAGCAGGGCCGTGCGATAAGCGAGTGGCGATTCCTTATCACCCTTCTGCCGTTCATAGAAGAGCTGGCGACAATCGGAGGGCGGCCCATAAACGGTGGCCAGCAGCTGCAGCGCCGACTGAATGGTGGAGCGTGCCGACTTGGGTGCAGCAGTGAGGGTGCCCAGGGCGTCGCCGTCCAATAACGCCGGGAGAGCACACAGCGCCTCGTTGTCCGACCAGCCTGCCATCTCTTGGTGGGCCAAGAACCGGCGCTGGAACCCCCCCCAATCGCCGTCGCTTGCAACAAATACCTGCAGGGCCGGCAGGCGTTGCTGGAATGTCGGCTCCGTCTCCGATCCTCTTGCAGCGTCTCTTGCAGCATCCGTAGCGCGTCCCCGTACTGTATGGTCGGTGCTGGCGTCAGCTGGTGGTGACGTTTCAACCCCTGATAGGCTGCCACCGCGACCCGCCTCCGCCGATGACGTGGCGGCTGCTGGCTGGGCACCGTCTCCCGCGTGACGAGCTGGGACTCCTCCCTCCGCCCCTACTGTCTTCGTGGCGGGATTTTCGAGTCGCCCCGCTGTTGTAAAGGCGGGAGTTTCTGGCGGGCGTTGTCCATCTTCCCGCCGCGTCGCTCCTCCCGGCCCCAGGCGAGTTATTTGTTCCAGCATAGCGGCCGCTGCATACAAGAGCTCCGCCAGCCGCGAGTGAGCCAACGCCAACTCGTCAGTCGACGTCCCGGCCCTCTCCGACGGCCCCGCCGATGTCGGAGCCGGCAGCAGTTGTGCAGGTACGTCGGCGGCGATGTCTTGCACTGCCCCTCCCTCGTCGTCATCCTCTCCTGGGTCTTGGGCACGAGTCTTCCGTCTCGTATCCATGCTTGGCCCACTTCCAACACCAGATGTAGTAAGTTGATGAGGAGACGATGAGGAAGTTGAGACACACTGTTTATTAACTCCGGGACAGATACAATAGTTGAAGGGGTATCGGCCCCTTCACCCGTACTATGGGAAACCCACCCTAGTACTAAGCCCTCTGTCCTGTCCCCCAGTCCTCCTCTACTGGGCTACGGGAGGCTGACTGATCTGGCCCTGGCAAGCACAGATCTCGGCACCAGCTAACCAGCCTTGCCCTGATAAGGGCAGCGGTCTGGAAGCTCTTGGGCCGCGCCACTGGCTTACCCGGCTCGGCCCTTATAAGGACGGCGAGACCGGGGAGTCCCAGGGCCTAATCTCCGAGTCTTGGATCTTCACTGGTCAGCTTCGTGTCGAACTGCCTCGAGCTCTTTGGGTTCCACCTTTTATAGGGATCGCCTCCGAGGGCTGGGGGCGTGGGCAATAACTGATGCGGACGTCGGTGTGACCCCCCGTGTATGTGAGTGCCGACAGCCCTGTGTTTGTTGTCCGCCGTTTCTCCCGTAATAACCCCTACACATACAATGTATGCATTGCTGCTGCAGAGAGCCAAGTCACCTGGTCCCATCACAATAAAACCCCTTGTTAGTTCCACATATACGGGGCTTTTGCCTTGTCGAATTATCCAACATTCCGAATTATGTACAATGGTACTCCTCCTGCCCCAATACAAAACATTTTCCCAATTTGTTTATCAAAAATTAGTTTACAAAAAAGTAACACTTACCATCAGTGCAGTGACATCGCGGGATGTCACTGTGTAATGCCAGCCCTAGAGAGGCACGGCGTGCGGTGTAGCGACATCGCGGACACCACGTGGTGTGGGTGTAGTACCGGCCCTAGAGGGGCTCGGTAAGTGCTGAATGATAGTGCTGGATGGCGCCACGCTTGGCGTGCAGTGTCAGCCCTACAGGACAGGGTGTGGGAGTGCCAGCCGTAGGAAAGGGGTTACTAAAGGCCATGGCACTCGGGTTGACCCGAGAGGATACGTGACCGGTTAGGTCTACAAAATGGGGGCTAGGGGTGGTCATGTGGTTGGGATCCAGATCCTGCTCGAGGATTCTGGAAGGTGGTCGTGGCCAAGGGTGGAGCCAGCCACGCTGCAGAGAATATAAGCCGGGTCCCCCAGAGGGGCCGGCGTTGTTGTTCATCCTGAAGAAACCTTCGTCTACGTTCTACCGAGTCTCCAACACGTGGACCTGGACCCGAGCTGTGGTCCTGGTCCGTAGTAGCTAGTCACGTTGTCATTAGTGTAGTTTGCCTGGTGGTCACCACATTAGGTTGTTATTCTGTTAAGGGGCAGTTACCCCGTGTGATGGTGTTAAATAAATGTGTTGCCTCCAAGTGTACGTCTGCGACTCAGTTGAACTCATTACATCAGTAACCAGCACTGCAGGTGAAGGAGGATTTGGTAGGTTCCATGTGGTAGGTGACATAAGTTGTGGAGGGGGGCTTAATACACTTAGTGTGTACTTACTGTACTGAGGACTATAAAGTCCAAAGCAACAGATCTGCACAAACGCTCACCACGTGCGCCGACACTAGACTGAGTAACTGTTTTGGTTGTGGCGCGCGATGTCGCTCCACGTGTGTGCTGAAATTGGATCATTTGGTACGGAAATTCAGCTCGTGGCGAATTACTAATACTGTATATATGCAGAAAGCGCAGCCGTGCTGAATTATCCCCAATTATGAATAATGATCACATACCGAAATAACGCATCTCTCATTTCATGCCGCTCGAATACATGCTCCACTCGTCGTCAGACACGACATTAGGCACACTGATCCTCAATGTGGTGTGACAATCGTACCATCAGATTGCCATCCTCCGGGGTTTGTGAGACCGCTAAGCAAGAGCCTGTTGCCTTGTTGCAGGTGGAGGAGCGCAGCAGCGTGCTGTCCGCCTGCGAGGGCTCCGCTCTCTCCCATCTGCTGCTGCACACGGCGCAGGAGCTGGAGCGGCTGCAGGTGGAGCGGCGGCTTCATGCCGCGTGCCTCCTGGCCGAGCGGCGGCGGCGGCGTCGCGAGGCCACCGAGGGCGGCCGGCGGCAGCATGAAGAGCGAGCGCGGCGCGAGCACGATGAGGTCTTCAAGCAGGTGGGGCGCCAGTGCAACCGCCTGCATTCGTTAGAGAGCACAGGCGGGTCTAAAAACTCCCAAACGGGGCGGGGGGGGGGGCAGTCTCTAAATTCTAAGCTATTTATATAGGGTCCTACATCAATAAAAAAATGTTAACTGTCTTCTCTAAAAATGTCAAGAATGTACCAATTATCAGGGTCTTAAGGGGGTGTCGGTGATCACTCTCCTTATGATGTTCCACTGTAAGAGGAGTGTGGATGCATGAGCCTTAGTGAAGGTAAGGTTTTCACAGAGCCGTGGAATGATTGAACCTCATTAGGCAAAAGCAAAGTGTTTTCTGTGACAAGGCCACCCGAGTCCGGAGGGAGGAGCAATCTGCAGCCAATGTAAGAGCATGACGACGATGATGATGTTTGCATTGCTGTTTTTGATATTCATTGTCTTGATCTTCAAGTTGCCGTTGATAATATTTGTGATAATGTTGATGGTATGTTATTTATATTGTTGACGATGTTCACATTGTCACTGTACACATTTATAGATTTTCTGAAGGTGATGCCTTGTTCAAATATCATAAAAATTACAATTTAGTCAAATAATGTCATCATCTGTTGACAGATGTACACACGGCCCCTCGAGCATAACCAAACTTCTGCCATTGTTGCCAACAGATTGGTTTGGTCAGGTCAGATGCCACTGGGGAAACATCAGTTGGTGTGTGCCCCACTGTAGGCAGTTTTGGTTAATGGCACAAAGTTACGTGGGAAATTATGGTGTTGATTGTTCTACTTTTCTGTGGTGGTTGTGTTTTTAGGTGGTTGGGGTTCACCAGGCCACAGTGGATGAGTTCCTCGAGTCTGTGCTTCTCAATGCCATGGAGTCGACATCTGAGGCTCAGGCTCGGCTCGAGGTGCAGATCTTGACAGAGCAGCTCGACGAGATGAGCCGAGAGACACGGCACAGGTAGAGCACAGAGCCAGCACAAGCAGAACACGGACACTGCAGAGGTGCAGCGGCCACAGCACACTTGTTGCCAGCTGTTGTTGGTTGTGATCATGTTTGCTGATGTCTTTTATTGAGTTGTTGTCAACTGTGCTGCAGTCTGACTCCACATCAGGCCCAAGAGGTGGTGGCGGAGTTGGTTCATGGATTTCTCATTCCAGAGACACAGCGGAGGGAAGTACGAGAAAAAGGTGAGGCAGGTGGGGGCAGCAGGGTGGTGGTGCAGTGGTGGTGACACTCGTGCCTCGCAGCAAGAAGGGCCTTGGTTCGATTGCTGACTCGGGCGCCTTCCAGTTTGTATCTTCTACCTTAGTTCTTTGGATTGTGTGTCTACCTTTCTTTTGACAGAGTGAGTGTATGGAGTTTGTTCTCCGCCTGTTCTGCATGAATTTCCTTCGGGCTCTTCGATTTCCTCCCATAGGTAAAAAAAATATACAATGTAAGTGGTATTGGCCAAACATGCCAATTACTTGCACATTGCCCAATTGAGATTACACATAGCAACATTTGCCTCTACTGCGAAACAGCTTAAGATTTCCAGCTTAAGCTTTCCAGCTTAAAATACGCTGCCAAGCTTAGCAGTGTTCATTGGGATGCTGTCTTTCCGACAGCTCTGTTTCTTTACCTGAGGACGGCTGCTTGCGTTGTGGCCGAAACGTCGTGAGAATTTTATTTTATTATGTTTAATTTTTATTATCTTATTATTTCCCTTCTATGTGACTTTACCGAAGCAACCAAGAATATGAAACATGGCCCAGGCTAGTGAAAAGTTCGACTAAAACATGCGATTGAATAATCCGGTACAAGAGATATAAAAGGATCTGGAGCTTGCTGAGAGATGGTACCATTGGTGTCAGAATCAGCCTGTCTGAAGGATGCTTGTGAATGAGGCTAATGATTAATAATTTACCATCTGCCAGTCCCCCCACGTTAACTCACAACATTGTCTTTTTTCTTTTGGTCTCCTGCAAAACAAGTATTTGTCAACTCACATGGACGATGTTCATAATCTGTGCATTATATAGAGCTTGTGTACTGCCTCAGCAAGTCAAGTGCCTTTCATTGCATCTAAAAATTCAAAGGCGACCCCTAGTGGAAGCTGTCCCTATGCAGCACAAGGTGATTCAGCACCGGCCTGCAAGCGGGCATTGTCTGCCAGTTGGGAGTGATAATATAATTATTGCTACGTACAATCCAATTGCAGTAATTTGTGGAAATTTTTTCAAATTTGCACCATGACGCTGCCCTCCAGTGGCCTACTATTTCCAATGTCGGTGGACATTTATTTTGCCCACTGTGAATCAGACAATATGTACTTGTGGATATTACAGCCAAAATATTAGCCAGGGTGAACTTCTGCAACAAACGGCGAACTTGCTGGGCCATCGCCCCATGTACCCAGCTTGGCATTCACACTGGTGATGGCATCCTCACACTTTGGTAAATCCCAGCTGTTTTACAGTTGTAGAGGAGTACTGCGGGGACCCAACGAGGGGAAACTGCGGGAAGGGGTCCAAGCAAAAAGGGGAGTGCCAGAAGGGCGAGAGAGGAGGGTCAGTAGACAGAGACATCTCCTAGTGAGGGAGCCAGGTAGGAGGGGGGTCAGTAGACAGAGCGAGACGTCTGCTGGTTGGGGAGCCAGGTAGGAGGAGGAGAGCCAGGTAAAAGGGAGGAGCCCGGGCTGAGGGTATACAAGGGTAACCTGGACAGAAGGGGAGGGGTCAGAGACAAAGGAGAGCCAGGGAGAGAGAGAGAGAGGAGCCAGGTAGCAGGTAGAAAGGCTCCTGAGCCGGAGAGACAAAGGAGGCTACGGGTGGAAGGGTACGAGGTAGCCTGGACGAAGGTCGAGGGAGTCGGGAGAGAGGGCTAAGGGACAGGGAGTAGTGAGTACCCGCAACGGAACTAAGAGTGCGGATGTTGGCGTGAATAAACGGCCAGCAGCGCTGAATATTCAACCCTGGTCTCCGTCTGAGTCTACAATCCCACAGGGCATCATGAAGAACGACTCTACACAGTGTTAATGGTTGTAATATTTATGGTCACTCCACTGCTGGATGAGAGGCTCCTCACACTGTGGGTCATGGGGATTTTTTTTACCATATTTCACCACGCTAGTCTGTGTTAGGCAGTGTGTTGATATGGGAACATAAAAGTATAGGACAACAGTGGACTTTGCTGCACTGATGATGCCCACTACACAGTTCCACAGCCTATAATGCCAGTTATGCCAGTTAGCTGCCCATCTAAGCATTATCCAGGCTCCAACTTTATTAGCTTCTTAGATCTGATGAGAATATGTGCATTCCAGGTGATGTGGTTTGATTGATGTATTTGATGGTCACGCTGTTGTTGCTTGTTATTGATTTTTATATTGTAAATGTTGGTGTTGATAATGTTGTTAGTGTTTGTGTTGAAGTGTTAGTGGTATTGGTGTTCAAGGTCGTATAGTGTTGTTGATTATGTTGTTGGTAGCATTAATGCTGATTGTTGTGTTGATGCTGTTGTTGTGTGTGGTTGAGCAGTGAAGGCGGCACAGCGACGCCACCTGGCAGCAGCACATGGAGTTGTACTAGCAGCAGCCAGGAGTACAAAGCAATCGGTAATGCCTAACGATGTATTCACTTATCACAATGGTCATCCTCTTGGGCATGTTCCTGTCTTTGGCTGCCATTCTGTCACCATTCTTGTCCATCAGATATCATCGATTGTAGCAATCTTTCTTGCCCAAGCTCACTTTCCTAAACTGTTGATATAATTTCTATAAATGTTCGTATATCTTGATCTATGTGTTCTCCTGTCTGTCAGTGTAATTCTGTAAGCACGTATCCTTCCATGCTGCTCTGTGGACTTTTGAGCTTTTGTTCCGTTTTCTCAATGTGTCCATACATAAGTTATAGCAGGTAGTATGCAAAGGAAACATTCTTCTTTATGCACATTAGTATGTTACATATCCCGCTGTGAAAACAGATGTAACGTGAGATGCATGACAATGTAGATTGTCATGCATGTTGCAGCCTGCTGCTGAGACTAGTTGGATAAGCAAGTCCAGAATGCATCCCTCTGTAATGCCCAGAAGTGCATTGGCACATTCTGCTGTTCTACACTTGTGTCCCACCAAGTATAGCTAATTGTTTAGTGAACCTATACGCGAATGTTGTTTGCCTATTCATCTTGTGTCCACCCTTGCAGCTCTCTACAATGCTGTTATTTCATGATTTACAGTGATGACATTTTGTTATTCATGTTGCTGCTGGGGCTGTGAACTGTTGCTTAGGCTTGGTCTTCTGCTTCTGCCTCCTTATGTCGCCTATCTCGTTTCGACATGTGATTACTTTTCCCCTTAATCCAGTTTGAGGGCTGGAAATGGCCTCAACTTAATCTCATATGGCCCGTGGCCACATGAGCCCTTCCATTTGGAAATGCCCTGCAAACAATATAGACCCTTCACAGCAGCAACATGTTAGCTCCACTTATCGGGTACTACAAGGATATTTTTTAGACTTGGCAACAGCGTCTAGTTTTAGCGCATAATGGCCTCTTGTAGCGACAGAAGTGACCACGATAGGTGCCAATGTGTGTAGTTGCCGATACCCAAAGGGATTTGAAAGTGTTCTTCGGCTATCGCTAAAGAAGAGGTTCCCTCCCCAGCCTCCCACTCATACGGCCCCGATGTCATATGTGCTATTTGTTATAGGTTTTGGGTTTTATATGTGTCTGTGTAATTTTCTGTAGCTGTGATCTATGGGGTGGGTCCAATGGCTATAGGATTATGGGCTATAGGTTCTGCGTTAAGAACTCAAGATCTCAAGGTGCTGGCATATGTATGTTGAACTTCTTTCACACCGTACGTAGCCACCCATGCTTATCTGGACCAGTGGAAATCCATGGTTACACTTATTTTTTCTCCACAGGAGTGAGGTGGCAGACGGTGGCGACGTTGAGACGCAGAGATCGGAGGCTCTCGTATGCGAGACTGTACACGTGTTTGTGTTGGTTACCTATCGGCATACAGAGCAGTACCTGTAGTCTGAGGATTATCCCGCTGTCCATATGGGTTTTCCGAGGCAAACTGGTTTCCTCCCGTATTAGACAAACATGTGTACCTTGCTGCTAACTTTTATAGAAATACGTCTAGACAGATTCACAATACATGTGCGTATTCTGAACAAAATTGCATAGCCTAAAAAACACCAGGTGGTGAGATTGTCAAACGTCACCAAGTGGATGCTATAGTGAGCACCGTTTTGCCTTGTGTGGGGACAAATTTAATCAAAAACTAGGGTTTGTAAAGTTTTTCTTCATATTACCCATCACCGAATGGACACATTTTTGGCTAAAAAACAGTTACCGGTTTTCCGCATACAGCAATATGGAGCAATAAACACACAACTTCTTTTAATTTTTAATGGAGAAATAAAGGGAGTTCCTGGGGTGTGAGGTTAGCACACTGAAGTTGCAACCCAGAGGTCACTGGTTCAATTCGATTTCTACACATGACAGTTGAAACAGGGAATGTGTTTTAAACACCCTCCAGCCTCTGTTCACCCTGCAATAGAAACGGGTTGACCAGTCAATCGGCACACACACCTCCGATTAGCGCAGTTGGCTATATACGGTGCAAAAGAAGTTCAACATACATGGTGGAGTAAAGTATGGGTACACCCGCCTCTTCCAAGACTTTTGATTAGTGTCGAAGAGTAGGCCAAATACCCCCTAGAGCTCCCTCTAGTGGAGGCTCTTCCACCAGCAGTGGTGTGAGTGAGCAATTGCAGGATTGCACCTGTAACTTTAAACAGAAATTCGGTCAAATTAACCTTATGGCGGTACCTCGTGGTACCATCGTACCCCGGCTCTCGCACGATGTCTGTGATGCAGTCATTCTTAGTCTGTTGATGGTCGGCGGTGCGGCAATCGACTCATCTCGACGAGCTGTACACGATGCACTATTCAAAGTTGAATTTTTCGATAAGGGATTTTTTTAATGCTAATGTTTGGCGATTCAACATCGCGGAGTAGCACTGATTTCGGATTGATTGGTACCCCAGTCGCGTAGTTAAGTACACCCCAGAAAAAATAGTGTCCCAGAAATAAAATATTTAATTGCCTCGGCCATTTTGTATTATTTGGTACCCCGGGGTACCGCCATAAGGATCAAATGTCCTGAGGCCACCATACGCTTGTGTGTTTGTGTGTGCCGATCAGTACATTTATTATTAATATCCACTGCAAATAATTACCGATTAACGACTTTAGGAACCAGTAATCGATTCTGAAGATGGTTACCAGTTTACCAGTTGTAAAACAACCCAAGTATAAAAATGCACCGTGTGTTTGCCCATAAAACATAAAGGGCAAAATACTTAAACATCTAAAGCAGAACCCTCGTGAAGGCAAATTGAGACTTGGTCAGCTTCATTGGTTACGTAAACGACTGGCGTTATGATAATACAGTACGAGGTTTTTACAGAATTCAACACCAAATGACAATTTATATTCTTGTAAGGTGAAGAGGGCAAGGTAAGGAACAAGTCAGGGCATACGACAAATGCATACGATGCTTGTCCTGTAAAATAAAGAGTTGATATAACACGATTTCCTTGTGTGACATAAATTAAACTAGCTTTACTACCCGGCTTCGCCCGGGACTTGGATTCACCACGCCAGGCCGCCTTTGTCTCCCCAGTGGCGATGTTCATACACCACACCAGTTACTCGTTTGAGGCTGAGTCGACCTACGGGAGGCCCAGGACCGGTTCAAATAATCGTCACCGGTTATGGCCGTGAGCGGGAATCGAACTCGGGTCGCCGGGTTCGTGGCGCAGCGCGCTAACCACTACACCCACCGCTCCCCCCACACACGCGCGCATGTCCATAGGTACACATACACGCGCTTGCAGACAACTTTCAGGGTGCATACGGCAGTAAACGACTCAAACCATTGCTGTGCGAAGAACGCCTTAGGCCAGCTACATGTATATCGCGGAGGGTTGGGGGGGGATGTGTAAGTGGGTGTAACCCACATGACAGAGATATGACGTCACAGCTCACTTGCCGTGTAAAATATATGTATTATTGCGCCCCCCCCCCCAAAAAGCGTAATTTTCATAATTTTTGCATGGTGTACATTCTGGAAAGTACCCACATGGAAAATGTCAAGTTTGTTGCATGTCGGGAAGTACGCTAAACATTTTGAACATACATTCACAAATTTCCCTTTTTATATATAGATTGACTTTATTTTACTATTTATATTCGGTCTATGTTTCAGATTATTTCGATTTAATTCCTCTGTGCTCAGCCATATTACCCCAGACATGTGGACGAAAGAATCATATCAGAAATATCTGTTGCAGTGAGTAAAATACCAAGCAGGGCACTGCTTGCCCAAGGAAAGAGGTAAATTGTGGTCTTAATTTGTTAAATCCTGGTAATGCATGGCTGACAGAATTGTTATTATCCTTGAGCAGAAGCTGTGCATAAATAACAGCTCCCTGACTGCATAATAATGTGAACTTATTACCGTGCTGCCGCTCAGTTTCGCTCACGCCCGGAGAATGACTCAGGCGTGAGGACACACAGACGAGCAGGAAGACAGCCACGTGGTGAGCTGGCACCAGCAAACGCCCAAGCTCTCCGTTCCTCTATATATTAAGGTGTTATTGGCTAATTAATGTTTACATGTACGAGGAAACTGGAGAAAACCCACGCGTGAGGAGGAAACACTATCGTAGTGTCCTTATCCTGGCCAGCCAAGGTATGGCACCTTTATGCCAACAGGAAGAGTTTTACATTTGTCCGATTCACCAACCCTCGCCTCCACAGTGCTGGATTACAGGCATGCAACACCACCACCCGGTTTATATAAACTACGTAATGCTAATTTTCATATGCAATATTCAACACCTGTAAAATTATAGCTATTAGCATACACGTGCATAACAATGCAGCCCATAGCTTCTTGCATATGTAGTGGGTTCCACAAAAGCGCACACTTGAACTTGGAGGCAACACGTTTATTATAACACCCCAACAGGGTAACTGTATAAACGTACACTGATTAACGACATAGAGTGGTGACCACCACGGGTAACTACACACTCAGACCAGGTTAGTTAACACACTGCCTGGTCCAGGATGCCGTGCGCGAAGACCGAAGATTGAAGACGTAGCCCGGCGGGTTCCATTCCCAGAGGCAGCCCGGATCGGCGCTCGGGACTTCCCTTTGATGTCCCTGAACGTGGCCTGGCCACGCCCCCTTCTGGATCAGTGGCGGCTCGTCAATAGAGGGCGCAGGGGCGCCGCCCCCATCAATATTCAAGAAATATAGATATACAAAATTTATATAAAAATACATAAATAAAATATTTTTTTCATACGATGTGCCGGCTGGTAGTAAGAAAAGCATCAGCATTTAATAAAAACTGGCTTTAATCGGTCAACTATGTTCTATGTTTTTCAATGTGTTTCATGCGGGGCGCCGGACAAATGGATGTCTATGTGAGACTTAAAAATTTCGGACAGCATGTGACCTGAAGCTGGTCTCTAATTGGTTTCTTGAAGATTCTCCTCGGGGCGCAAGTCGTTGCGTCCCTGGCCAATCAGAATTGGATACATGTTATTTTATCCAATCTGATTGGTTCTCGTCACCTGTCATTCAAATTTACGCTCTGGGCCACAACTGCGAGTGCGCAGGCGACACCACTTTGACACTTGCTAGGCTAATCAAATTTTTTGTGTAAACAATGGCAGCAGTTCATCCAAATTCTGTAATTTATTTACAAAAAAATCCTTTCACAAGGCTTTCGCTGGAAGAAATAAAAAAGATAAAGGATCTCGGACCGGACCAACCCGATTTACAAATCCAGCAGCAGGCCAGTGACAGAGGACGAAGCTACACACGAAGCTTCACCCGCGCTTGTTATGAGAAACGGAGGTGGGTGGCTGGATGTGATGTTAGCAATTCTCTTTTTTGTTTTCCCTGTCTTTTATTTCAAAGTGTCGGCACTGAAGTTTTGTGGACAACGACGGGGGTAAGAGACCTCAAACATCTCTCTGACAAATGCAAACGTCATGAAAGTAGCCGCAGCCATATTGATAATAGCATGAAACTAACGTTTTTATGTTCAAGTAGGCAACATGCTTTTTGGTACTTTAGTCTGAAATGTATATAAAAGAGAAACATTTATGTTCAAGTAGGAAACATGCTTTTTGGTACTTTGGTCTGAAATGTATATAAAAGAGAAACATTTATGTTCAAGTAGGAAACATGCTTTTTGGTACTTTGGTCTGAAATGTATATAAAAGAGAAACATTTATGTTCAAGTAGGAAACATGCTTTTTGGTACTTTGGTCTGAAATGTATATAAAAGAGAAACATTTATGTTCAAGTAGGAAACATGCTTTTTGGTACTTCTTTTGGTCTGAAATGTAAATAAAGATCATCAAAATTTATATTCAAGTAGTCAAAATGGTTTTTGGTACTGCTTTATATTTATTTGCCCCCCTCAATAAAATAAAAAAATGCGCCCCCCCAAAAATAAATATCACCAGCCGCCACTGTTCTGGATCCTACTGGAAGGTGCTGGGCCTCATGTCCCGTGTGAAGTGCCCTCTCTCTGGCCGTCACCAGAAGCCTGCCCCCTCGGGCCCGCTTCTATGCCATGCACTCTGGTGCCAGAGAGAGACGCTAACATGCACAGTACCACCCTTCTTCCAATAGTTGGCGCTAGACGCAATAGTGACTCAATATACGTCACTATACATATGCCAGAGTGAATAACAGTGTCACGAGCTGTGGAAACTTGCATATAAGAAACATCTTCAGAAACGGTAACATCAAACTTCAAACAGACCACAAATAAATATTTTCTTTCTTGCATGCAGGATTTTATAAACCCTTTAGATCAGATCAAGCACACTGAGATTGTAGGCATCATTGTAACCGTTCCTGAAGCCACAGGAATTGACTTGGAACAATATTTCCGTCTATCTGCACAGGTGCATGTAAGGTTTTTATGAACACACAATCACCCCTGATCGGGCTACGTGGTGTGACATACAAAATATCAATATTGTAATGGTGCATTTTTTTTTTAAGATGTGCATGACTTGGAATATTCTCAAGCATGGATTTGGCTTGAAATGACATGGACAGCATAGAATTTCAGCTGAGAGAGGGCTTCATAATCCAGCGAAGAGGGCAAAATCTTGCTCCCTTTATAGTGAGTGACAAGACATTTCTGCACAGCCTGCTACAGTGCCGACAGAAGATGCCCAACAGTCATCAATAGACGTGCTGCCATAGCCTGCAAACAAACTTTTATTCCTAAAAAATACATTTAAGACTGTATATATGTGTAACAGCTTAAATACTGCAGGAGACGAGTTGACGGAGGCAGCACGTATTTATTTATAACCCCCTACAGCACAGTCATCTATACAGCCTAGGAACACAGCCTATGGCTACGCGTGCCTGACACCGGCTACGCTCTAAGGTCCTCCGGCTATGTCCTTCCTAGAGGAGGCTATCTGACCCGACCTAGCCAGGGTGCGGGTCCCAACCACTGGCTCATCAAACTCGGCCCTGATAAGGACGTCGGGCTGTGAGTACCCAAGGTCTCACCACTGAGCCACACAGAGTCCCGGCCCTGATACGGGCAGCGGGGCTAGGGGTCCCAGGGTCCTATGTAGCTTGCTCCGTCTTCATTCTTCACTCGTTCCAACGACTCCCGAGCGCTCATGCGCATCGCCTTATATAGCCCTCTGCTCCCCGAGGGGCGGGGCTAGTGCGGACGTCGGTGTAGCCACCCGTATGCGGACCGTGATGTAGACACCGGCTACGCGATGGCTTGCTACATCCCGGTACGTACCACCTCTACATATGTGTAGAGGTGATAGCTACTCATTATTCGGGGACCTATGGTACAGCGTTGCCTCCCTCGGTAAACGGTCGGGGTCAGGGAGAGCTGAGAGCGGATCGTATTTACAGATTCCCGCCAGACAAACGGTCAAGGGTCAGATAAGGGGAAAGAGGATCCAAACGACAGATTGGGAAGAACCAATCAGAAGGGTCCACAAAGTAGCGTGGGATTGGACAAGCCCAGCCACGAACCAGCATAAAAGCCAGAGCGCTGAGAGCTGTGGCTCAGTTCTCCTCACACGAAGACCCAAGCCCGGCTGAAGAAGATAGCACCCTGGACCAAGCCTTCTAGCCCTTCTAAGGGCTGAGGCTCAGTGTTCCAGTGGTCGGGGGAGAATAGGTCCTGGATAGGGCAGGACTCTGGGTCCCAGCCTTACTGCCCTTCTAAGGGCTGAGGCTCTGCGTGACCAGAGGTCGGGGACCCACCGAGCTAGCGGTGGGTCAGTTAGCCTCCCCTAGGTCCCAGCCGGAGGACGCTAGGTTATGCGGGTAGACTCGTGTGTAGTTCCCACCAAGTCCAGAGGCTGTACCTCAGGTTAGCAGGTAGGCTGTGTGTAGGGGACGTCCCGCCAAGCCCGGAGGCTGTACCTCCTCAGGTTAACGGGTAAGGGGACCGTATACCCCTTGTGTGTTAGGGACCGTGTCGAAGAAAGACAATAAACAGTGTGTGCCTCAAAGGAGTTTATTCGTCCGTGATTCAAGACACTACATATGTATAAAGAATGAGCTCTATGAGGCCACTATTGGCCTTAGTCACTGTTTGAGCCTCATAGAGAGGCGCTTGATGACGATGGAGGCTAAGCGTGGGGTGCTGTGATGGAGCACGACGTCTGGATGGCGAGAGCGAGCGACGAAATCCTCAAATGAGTCCTGAACTCCATCCACAAGTCCATCCCTTGTGCCACCTTCAGCCCCAGCCCCAGTTGCAGCTTGGGCTGGAGTCACAGTCCCAATCCCAGTCCCATTCCGCGCCAGGGTCCTGGTCCCGGCCCCGGCCCGTGAGGACTGTCTCCCATAACGGTGAGTTGAAGATGAATGGAGCCTCTCCTGTTTGGGCTCTGGTAGGTGTGTGGGTGAAAGCAGAAGGGACAACATAATCACTTCAAAATCCCTCTGAGGAGTTATATCTGAACTCCATTATTTCTGTTTCGGAAATCCCAAGAGGTGTTCAGGAGGGTCTATATGGGATTTGATTCACTACATCGCCATTCCAGAGCAAGTGCATTGCGGTCTCATTGACTTAGAGGCTGTCAACTGAATCATGGTGTTGCAACTCGAAAACTGGATATTTTTACATGAGCAGGATTGAGTGTGCCGACAATCCATGTCACTGTAATGGGCATGTGAAAAAGTTATATCGATACATTTTGTTGACTAGTTTCCACTATGCAGACGTGTAGAAAATAAAGTCTACGGTAACAATTTTTATATGCACTCATGTCAAGAGGCGTCTGTTGACACTCGTGTTGAATATTGGCCCCCGCGCTGATCTCACAGCTAACATTGTTGAAACACCAGATAATGCAGCCCGATAAATGTCACGTCTCGGCAAGAGAAAGAGAGGATGGTTGGTGAATTTGACATCACAGCAAACAAATTAAGGGGGAGAACACCTGCCAAAGTTTGCAGTCAGCCACACGACAAAAATAACAAACACTTATCTGAGCAGAAGCCATCAAGAGAGTGGATATGGAGGAGCCGAAATGTAGAAATTAAGTTTGAAATGTACTTTAGTCTCATGGATAAATATAGAGTGTCAGAAATATCGCTGTCCAAAGTAGATTTAACACAGGAAATTCGTATGTATGTTGAACTTCTTTTCACACCTTACGTAGCCAACCATGTTATTCTGAGGTGCGGCAATGATCACCTGCTGCTGGTGAGATGCCAGTCACTTTTAAAGTTGCCAAAACAAGGACAAAACGAATTGCAGGAAAAAAGAATAGTTCACGTCAAAATTAGAGAGGAGGCAGCAGCATCCGACAGATTCGAAGCAACTGGTTACCAGGCCCTAGAGGTAAAATGATGAACATGATGCCACTGCTATATATGTCATTTGTTATTTCACGTTTAAGATGTTAGAATATTATATGCGTATCTCTAATTCTAACTAGAATTATGGAATCAGCATAGCTAGTCAATCATGGCAACAGTTACACATAGCTGTAGTAGAATGTTATCCCATGCAATGCATATTTCATGTCACTGCTGAAATCACATGTGCAAATCCTAATGATAATACTGAAAGTTGGGGTGAGCATTGTAATTAGTCGTCAATGCTTTCAGAAAGCCTCGATGCCCCTCACCCACATGTGCACTTTCCACGGAGGAGCTTGCCTTGCATTCAGGCCCACCCTTCTAGACCTTCCAAGCGTCTCCTCTGTGCTCACACTTTCAAAGACGAAGTCACTGCCCTTCACATTCACAAACTCACTCAGAGCTTACATGGGTATGATTGTGATAAGGGAGGGCAAAATGCAGAAATATGGGTATATTTCTGCCTTTCTCCCTCCCTTATCACAATCATCTTTAACTGCATTAATAGAGATTGTATTATAACCCTAATGAAGTGCAGAAGAGTGATACGTAGACAAATGTGATGGAAAATTAGAACGGCTTATTCTTTAGATTCCATTGAGGGAAACATTTCTCGTTGGGTCCCATTGCTATGGAAAAGTCGTTCAGTCTCGGCAAGGGCAGCAGCGCTGCAAGGAGCTGGACTGCAAGGGCTGGGACTCTCACCGAGCCCCAACCCTTGCCTGGGAGATGGTCGTGCACCACTGCACTGGGCTAAGCTTGTCGATTAAAGAAACCATGATTCCCACTCGCCACAAAATGGCCCTGTCCACTCAGGTTTTGCTCCAAAGTAACCAAACTTAGATTTAAAACCGACACTTAATCTGGGAATTAGGCCAGGAATAAGTCTGAAAAATGCAGGTAGATTAATATTGTCTCCCAGCAGTACCTTTTGCCATGACAACACCATTAGAGCCACACTGCTTGTGTGATCCCTTGACCATTTCGCCTCCACGCCAGGCACCATCGCTCTCACTCGATCCACTCCTCCTGCAGTCGCTGACTTCGCAGGCATAATCAAGGGGGGTACCGGAGGAGAATGGAGTCTGGGGGTAATATTTCTGTAGCCTCCGTGGCTCCTCCTCCTCCACATGCAGCGATGCGCGTCGAGGCCGAGCGTGGGGCAGCCTCCCGGACGGGCTCTGCGAGCGGTGTCGCCAGGGCCGAGACGGGCTCCGTGAGCTGCTCCCCCAGGGCTGAGGGGATGCCCGAGATCCCTGACGACCCAGGGGAGAGTCCCACCTGCATTGTCTCTGCACGACTCGTGCTGTCTCGTGCATCTCGGAACCGTCCTCGGATACTGTTTGGGATGCCTCCGAAGACAATCTCCACGTCTCCCGCGAAGACCAGTCTCTCGCACCTCGCGTATCGCCCTGTACGTCGCCCTGCATGTCGGCGTGGATCGCCAACGAAGGGTGAACACGAGACGAGGGATAGAGTTGGGACGAGCAGTCAGGTGGAGTCGACTGGAGCCGGGAGGAAGGGAGGGGGGGTGATGAAAGCGGTGACACCAGCTCCTCGTGAGTGTAGCATTGGGGTGGCCGTGCGGGCGATGCCTGTAGGTCAGCGCAAGCAGAACACCCGCAATGAAGTGGCTCCTGGAAGCCACAGTCTTGCATTCATCCACATGCTGAGCACTTCATTTACATAGGAACCAGGTGGCTGGAGTATGCAAGAGCAATTGCGCCAGCCCCGCTGGCATTCAAGCGCTTGTGATTGCAATCCCTTGCTTAATTAACCTCGAACAATCGTTATTGGCAGTAGTTATAGTGCTTTCAATGCTAATGCGCCAGGGCAGTACCTGTGGAGCCACCTGGTCACGGACGAATTTATCAATGCTGGGGAGAGAGGAGATGCTACTGCTGCTGCTGGGCGACGCGGCAAGAGCGGACACGATGAGACTTGGGCGAGACTCGAGAAGGAGCCGCATTGCCTTGTCTGCTAAAACGCCGGATTCCTGCACACGCAATCACACAGGTGACGCACGAATTTGAATTAACCTCGTGTATAAATGGGTGTGCACATGCATGAGGTTGAACATGGGTCAATGCTATTAATGAGTGATATCTGCAGGTGATAATAAAGGGAGATCCATTTATAGATGCCGCATTAAAACTGTACATAGACATTTTCGAGATATTTGCATTTTAATTCACAGCCTCTCGGTGTCTCCCACCAAACTCTACGCACTCATTATGTCTCTAAACTCTCTCCTGATACACTTTGTGCAGCATATCCTGTCTGATTGATTTACAACATTCACCTGAGATGAGGGTCATTAGATATCAGTGGGGTATCTATATTTGGATCTACCTATATATTCAATGCTCATGGCTATGGGGTTGTGGGTTTCACCAGGCAATGATACCCAACATTTGGTGCATCATTTGTCATGTTGCAGGACACGTCACAGCTTAAAGGAACAATGGTCAAGAATAACACGGAGTGGCAGCCAAGGAATGGAACGTTTCTGAGAGAACATCTGCTGAGGAGATAGAGCGATCAAATCAGTTAATGTGTAGGTGCTATGTGGGTTATTGCATCATCGCAGGATCATGAGAGATGGTGGTATCTTAGGGAGGTTTTCATCCAGCAGTGTATAGACCATGGCTGATGATGATGCGATGGTATGTGGTGGTTGGAGTGTGGTAGTCGATGTATCATGGGTGTGGATGTGTAGTTGTGGGAAGGTGTGGTAGTGTATGTTTGGTGGTCATGGTTTGGTAGTGGGTATGTGGTTATGGGGAAGGTGTCCACACCATGTCTTTCACCTTGGGGTCACACATGATGGTTAAGTTTGACTCTGAGCCTAGGCACCAAGTAATATGCAGTCCCTCCTCGAGCACCTGCGCACAGGCGCTCACCTGGTAGTCAACCAGACACAAGCACAGGATTAGCACCAGCCCCAAGATGGTGTTTCATCATCACTCAGCTCTGTGTGGCTCTGAGAGAGAGGTTCATAATGACTACGTCACCTCAATGTGAAATGGCAGCAGTTTCAAGCGTTGGGGTTCCCGGCCCCGCTCAGACACGAGCAGTTCCCCCGCACTCCCCCCTACACAGCACCAAAACAGCTGCTCAACACACACAGTGAGACAAAAATGAGACCATGAAGATAAAACAAGAATGGACATCTCTCAAGGAAATCTCAGGAAGATGTATCAGGGTTGAGTGAGGTGGGTTTGGGTTGTGAGCGCGAATAGAGATGATGGTGGATAGTAGCTGGAGGGGAGATGTCTCAGGGCAGTGACATGGCACAGTGGTATCCGTTGATCGCTTGTTGAAGAGGTTCGTAGTTCACAAACGGCAGGTCGCCCTGGATAATACTGCATGTGCATCAATCGTAATATATGTACCATCTGATTCAAAGTAGACGTTAATGATCCCCTGATATCATTATAAATCAGTAGGCCATTGTGTGCTGATTTCAGAGTCCAATTTGAAAAGTTATCTGCACATTTTTAAATTGGGATTACACTTAGCAACATTGGCCCCGACTTCAGACTGTGAACACAGCGCCTTCGCGGTCGCCTTGCGCGGTCGCCTTGCGCTCTAAGAACGGCAGAAATAGCAGATGTACTAAATCAGTGTTCTTTATTGATTTGCAGAGGGGGGGGCACTTTTGCCAATAAGACATCAATGTGAGTGTTACCACAGATTGAAACAATTGAGTTTCACAGCATGATGGGGGTTTTTTCACATTTGAGTATTGTCGGGGGCCACACGTCAGAGCCCGCACTAAAGGCCACAAGGGGCCGCCAGTGGCCCGCGAGCCCTGCAATGAAGAACACGAAACTAAATTATTAGGTCTCACCAGCCTGGTATCCTCTGGCAGGGCTGAGCTGAGTGTGAGAGACGTCAGCTGCATGGAAAGATCGATGAAGCGCAGGGCAGAGCATGGAGAAACCTGTGAAAGCAGACCCCGTTAAAATATAAACACAGGTCTAATTTGCCAAATCAACCCTCATCATGACCTTGCCTAACTTTAATGCCATCTTGCAACTAATAACCATTTACCACTAATCAGAACCCTAAATCACGAACGATGCTTTAACGCTTTACCCTTAACATAAACCCTGCTATCACGATAACCCTGAAATGTAAACCCTGCCATAATACTAACCCGAGCCTTTAAACCATTATATAAACCATTATATAAATCTCCTAACATTAACATCCAATACACGAATTGCTAAACTTGGCTCTGAGGATTGTTCAACTCAGAGGTGAGTGAGCTGAAACAATCATATTTGGCATGTTAAATGTTTGTTCACCATGTGACAATTTCATTTATTTGTATGTGTTGAGTGGTGGAGGGTCTTCACACAAATTTGGCCGGGTCATTACATAGCCTGACCCAAAAAAACAATATTCATCCTTGTTACTAACGTAACATTTTACTTGAAGTTTCAATGCAGGATTCCTTGTTTCCATGGCTACTCATAATGGTGCGAGGTGCCCGGCTGGCCCAGTCCCCACAACATCGATGTTGTTGTGTTCACATCGATGTCCATGTCTCTGATAACATTGGAACATCGATATTTTGCTTTGGTGTTGGATTTTTAACACCGAAGACATGGCAAAAAAAATACTTCAACTTCATGCTGAAAATAAACTTCTCCATCTCCAAAAGTCATTGGCCAGCATATACACTGATATAGGATTAGGGTTCGCATGCTAGAGAGTGGACACAGCCTTGTGCATTTGCATTATTGGCTACCGTGCCATTGTAATGCGAGTTTCTTTGTTAATTAACATTTAGTTTTAATACGTTGTTCTTGCCTGTAAATAGTTACAAAACAGAGTAAACACGGATGTTTCCCTTCCGGTATTTTGGTGAGCACGTTTCCATAACAAGAAAATGTTCTTCGTATCAATGTTTTCCCTCGATGTCTCAACCGTGGTTGCTGCCCCTGAAAGAGCTGAGCCTGGAGAGCGTCTCCACGTGACCGAGTGAATGGACAAAGAGCCTCACGCATTCGGTGCTCGCTCTTCTGCTCGTGTCGAACTACCGAGCACATTCAGAATTGACCCTCATTGTTACATTATCGCGATCTTCCATAATCTAGGTTTTTTTGGGTTATATTTACGCGATATAACCCAAAAAAAATCTATATTATGGATGATATTGGTCGCGAAAGCCTACTTGTTAATCTATTGCGATATTGTTTGCATTGTTTCGTGATTATGCAGTCTTATGTGTGGTCTTAACTCAACAATAGCAAATATTCCTCATAACTTTGATGACTAATACATACTTGCTTCTGATGCTCACAACGGGATGCATATATTGTGTGTGGAATACATTTTAATCAATTAACTGAATTTTTGCTATCCAAACTGCTTAGAATACATTTTACTGTCATCAGTTTCAGTAATTCAAGTGAGGCGTTATCTGTTCTTCTACCACCACTGTTGAGAGTCCTTCTATCCGATTGTTAATTTTGTTCCCAGCATTCACCTATAGGTAACACTGATCCCTATCTCACAACCCACAGCCGCGGTACTGACATTCACCCCAACACAACGCCCCGAGGGACGCCATCGCGTGAAGAGACCACCGAGCCCACCGAGCCATTGTTCCCCGGCTGCGTGAAACGGGAGTGAAGGCGGCTGTGTACACAGACTCGTGGTCGGGTGACATCGTGTCAACAGCGCCCTCGGGGCACCGTGCACACGCTCTCTGTGCCCTCAGAGCGGCGAGCTCTCACACACAGCGTTTTTAATGTACCACGCTCTCTCCCCAGACCATTACTTGCTCTCTTAAGTACTATTCTATCACCACATCCTACATATTTTGTTCCACCTCTTCATTCTCAAACTGATCCCGAAATCATCATCATCATCATCCTCGTATACATATCTCCTTGTTTGGCGGTTCACATGACCATCAATTATATCTCAGTTGTGTGCGCTGATAGTCCTCGCGCCAAACAAAACATTAAACCCACCTCCAGGAAACATATACAACCCGGGAGAACACCCGTGAAAACCCCAAATCAACTAGAACCTACTGGCTTTATTGCATCTTCCAGGCACCACGTGGCATGGGCTTTTCCCATGAGCCAGGCGCGCGTATTTTGTTATGTGAAATACATTCTCAAGCAGGACCCTCAAGAAGTAAGTCCTGAGATTAATAGATTAATTTGAGGAGTTTAGAATAAAGGAGAGTGGTGATGACAAACACGGAATCAGAGAAGAGCGCTGATATTGCTTCTACACACCAACCCCACCGAGGCCGAACCCCAGCCACGCGAAATTCCAACCATAGCCACCGCTCTCGCTATGTCGCTCACCCCACAACTATCCCCTTTACTCAACTCTATTCTTACCAATATATCTGATTTAACACGTAGGTGTATGCGGCCAATATTATGATTCATCGTAGATTTTGGGTTGAGTCGTGTCACGATCTGGCCAAGTTTGTGTCGTGATATCCTCCACCACCCGACATGGTCAAACATTTTCCGTTTTTGGATTTTATTTTAACTTCCAGTATCTTGTCCTGATGATGCTTGAAATAGTCTCGAGCGAGACGCCGCATCCAATTGATGTTTTAATTGTGGATCTTGTTTCCCAACTAACCGGTGAATTGACGCGTTCACCCTTGTACACGTGACAATGTCATCTCTTTGGCTGTGTCGGGGGGGGGAGCCTCTGGCGACACGAGTATCGCGAGATCATTAAGTGCCCTAACCCACAAGAGTCTACGAATCAGTCCAACGTGTACGGCCCACGAGGCTCGGCGTGCGCGCGCTCCTGGCGTCACCTGCGCGTTGAGGGCTCGCAGCCACGCGCCGCGCCACCCCTCGCCGCCGGCTCGCAGCCACGTGAGCAGCAGCTGCTCCACGCGGGGGCGGGGCGCCGTGCTGCCCTGGTGGGACGCGAGCAGCAGGGCCAGCGCCAAGGCGAGCAGCAGCAGCTGCGAGAGCTCCAGCAGCAGCAGGCTCCACGGTTCCATCTGCAGAGGGACGCAGGGCGGACACCGACAAGCCCGAGTTCTCACCCCAATTCTCCGCACATAGAGTCCAGGGGATTGAACAGAGGGAGGGCTCCAAGAGACCGATCAACATCCCTGTCCCGCACAACCCACAACTTTGCAACACCTCTGCAATCGTGCACCTTCTCACCCGAACCATGATCATCGCAACTCACACACCGCGGGTCAGCCCTACGTGTGGATCCCGGCCACGCACAAAGCCCCACCTGTAACCCCAATGCCCAGAAACGCAGTGATGCAGCTCCTGGGTGAGCAGCTACTCACAGGTGGTGAGCAAACACCGAGGTGCGGCACAGACATGAAGACACTAGAGGAGCACTGCAAGGAGGAGGATGAATCGCAGCTGCTGCTTGGCATCGCGAAGAGACGGTGCGCAGAGCTGAGCGATCATCATGATGATTGTCTTAACTCCTCCTTCCCTTTCAATCCTCCTCCTCCTCCTAACTCCTCCCCGTGACTCCTCCTCCCCATGACTCCAGGGTGGTTCCGGGGGGCCGGGGGACCGGCGGGTCCGGGATCGGGGGGAGGGGGGAGTCCGCGGTCGGTCCGGGGTGTTGTATCTATGCCCTGTTTTCCGTTATTAATATTAAGAATAATTAAGAAAAAAATATATTTTTTTAACATCTATTTTTTTTTTTAAATTAAATAATGAAAACAACTCACGGGCACACCGGGAGTCCATGAGACATGGAGGGCGGTTGAAATGATAGGAATTCGGTCACAAAAAGGTCATAGACATCCAGACGGACAAAAAGATGTATGAACTAAACCTCCCGAGACATCTGGAGATGTACAGATAAGGTGCAGAGTGAATGACGGTTGAAGCTTCGCGTTTTCTTGGCGTTTTCCTAACCGAAAAGTAGAAACTTAACAGAAAGAATGAACCAACAAACAATAGGGGCTTTTTTTATTAGTAATTCCCTTGTATTTCTCGTATTCACCGTATATATATTATTTTTGTATTGTATGTTTCTATCTACCTGACCAAAAAAAATAATTACGAATTCCAACAGTTAAGGAAGCATAAGTGGAAACTTAGTTGCACTTAACCTCAGGACATTAAAATATAACTCAAGAATAAATGTAACATACAGGACCACATAATGTATCGCATACATCTCCTCGACCACCTTTGTCTTCCAGCGGTGTCTGACCTCAGAATGACCCACGCAGGGCAAGCAAGGAGGGAGCAAAAAGGTCACAGGGGGGAATCGGTGCCTGACATTCCAAAGACATCTGTTTTGTTGTTTGCTTTCTCTCGCAAGAGACGCGGAGAGAGGAGAGGGGAGTCACGTTTTGAGTTAGACACAGCACACAACACAGTCTGGTCCGAGTCGAGCTCAGCGTTGCGACGGGGCACGCAAGGGAGCTGTGGCAGTCGTGCCTCGAGAAGAGATGGGACGACGAGACATCGTTAAAGTGGCAGCCTGAGAGCAGTCTGGGTTGAGTCGTGCTCAGTCTCGCAACTCGGCTTGCGACGCGGTGTTGCGACGGGGCTCGCAAGAGAGCGGAGGCGCGTCGTGCCTCGAGGAGAGATGGAACGACGAGACATCGTTAAAGTGACAGTCTGAGAGCAGTCTGTTCGAGTCGCGCTCAGTCTCGCAACTCGGCTTGCGACGCAGCGTTGCGACGGGGGCTCGCAAGAGAGCTGGGGCGGTTGTGCCTCGAGAAGTGATGGAACGAGGAGGAGTCGTTCGAGTCGCAGAAGTCTGAGTTCAACCTGGGTCAGGGCTGGGTTTCAGCCGTGCTCCGGCTGGCGGAGCGTCGTGAGGACACGAAACACCGATGCCGATAACAGGTGTCGCTTCTCGCAGAACGAAGTTAAGTGCGAGTGAAGCTGGCAGCTGCCCGAACAAGGGAAGCACGGAGCAGAGAGAGTGACGAGTGACGACAAGCAATCAACCTGTAAAAGGGCGGAGATCGCCAAGCGTCGACCAAGCGTGCAAAACAGAGAGCGCGAAGCAGTGGAGAAAGCCTGGTCAAACGGCTGTGGAGAGAGAGAGAGCGCAAGAGCAGCACGACTCGGACGTCACCGGGCGTCACCGAGCGTCGTGCCAACTCGTCATTCAGCAGTGGAGAAAGCCTGGTCAAACGGCTGTGGAGAGAGAGAGAGCGCAAGAGCAGCACGACTCGGACGTCACCGGGCGTCACCGAGCGTCGTGCCAACTCGTCATGCAGCAGTGGAGAAAAAGAGAGCGCACAAGCAGAGACGCGTCCGAGCGAGGGAGCAGCAGGAGCTTGCGGCGGCCACGCCCAATCGAGAGGAACACCTGGCCGCTGTTTGTATCCTCCTACACCACACAAGCTAACGACACAATTAATATTACGAGGGGACAACGCACACACAGCACGCACACGAATCAGACTTTCAAAAAGTGATCTTTGCGTTTCAAAAAGGGTTGCCATTTCGAGGTGGTGCGTTCAATATCAACTGATCGTGCAAAGCAGTTGCTGCCGGCGAGTTACATGAATAAGAAATGTTTTAGTCATTCATTTTCGTTAACTGCATAATATCGCCAATGAAGAAGTATTTTTAGTCATTCATTTTCGTTAATTGCATAATCGAGTTACATGAATTTATTGACGTATACCTGCTTTCGCATAAGAGAGTGTCATGTGCTTGTTTAGAATTAAAATTGCTTAACACCAACTGTTCGAGTGCTTCTTTCCAAGTCCATGCAAAACTATCTTATTCTTGATAACTGTATCCTGTGATGAGATCTGAACCTGGAGACCTAAAAATAACAAACACACTAAGATAATCGGTAAACGTTTAATCGATGATAATCGTGTTATCCTGATTGATATAACTCTGGATAAACGAAGCTGAGCCTAATTATCACAACTGCTCACATTAACATAATCGCAAGCATCCGCATAAATTACTACGATTATCTCCGCGATTATCATAATTTATGCATATAATTACACACCTTATCATAATTTATGCATATTAATACACACACTATCATAATTAATGCGATTTGCGCATTTTTCGGAAAATTATTAATTTTTATTATTTTTATCAAAATTTCATAACCCGACACATACAACAGGGGGTTCTGGGGTTGGTCCGTTGGAGGTCCAGTTTGGGTTCCTAACCACCAACTCACCTGCCCATTTACCTACTCACCCACTGAACTACTTACAGACTTACCTGCCTAGCCACTAACCTACTCACTCATTGACCCACTCACTCACACACCCATCCACTCACCAAATCACTCACCCACTCACCACGTCTGTGTGGGTCTCTCTGTGTCTTAGTGAAAGTCATCGTCCCTACTTCTCGTTTAGTCCAATATCTGAACTGGACGTGCTGCATACGATAGTTTCAATTAAGACACCATCATCCATGGGAGAGGACGAGTTACCTACCTGCATTTGCACTTGTGGCTGTGGTAGATTTAAAATATAAACCCCTAACACATTTTGAACCTCTCACTTACCGAAGGTACATTTCCACTCGAGCCTTTGATACTGAAGTACTCTTGAAGACGCTTGGACACCGTAGTAAGGCACACGTGTTTATTTACACAATGGTCGTACAGCACTGGAGGGGTGTATCGGCCCCCTCACCCGTATAACTGGGGATACACCTCTAGCTATCCTTCCTACCCCGAGTCCTCCACTAACGGGCTAGGGGAGGCTGTCTGGCCCGACACTGGTCAGTCGGGCTACGGTACCCGGAGTCCCAGAGTACTGACTCTGGTTCACGGGACCACGCCACTGGCTCCAGCCTGCGCTGCCCTGATAAGGGCGGCGTCCCAGGGGGAGTCCAGGGCCTATCTGGTCGGTCTTCCGTCTTCCCCTAATTACTCTAAGACTGAACCCCGAGCTCTCTGGCTCATCCCTTTTTATACCCCCCTAGAGGATCACAACCCCCCTCACGCCGTCCGGTGCGGACGTCGTTGCGGGCACCACCCCGTGTACTCGCGGAGTCCCCGCCCACTGTGTTTGTTATCCGTTAGCTCCTATGCAAACAGCCCTACATCACCCCCCCCCTGTACAGCTCGCAGCCGTCCCGGCTGCAACAACTTCAATAAAGGTTAATTAACCCCTGGATCTCCGCGTGTGCCTCAAAAAAACGTTTTTAACGATAACATGAAGGGAACAACAACAACAACAGCAAAACCCAACAAACCCCGAAGGGAACAATCCGACGCACCCCCCCTGAATAAATACGAATTCCGTAAGAGCGACGTATATACAGGTTTAGCAGGGAACCCCTAGCACACATGCAACACAACACAATGTGGCAGGAGCTCCCCACCGACGCAGCACCCCGCAACCGTACACAAGAGAATTAAGTGTTCTTCCAATGCATTATAAGAGTCTGCGCATTTTTGCGCGCGTCCTTGCTGCAGGCCCGTCACACGGGGCAACCCCGGATGGCGGACCGGCCGGTGGCAGCTGTTCATTCCGTATTGAGTCCGCGTTTGACGTCGCGAGACCCTCGGCATCCCCCGCAGCGGTAGGTGGGTGCGAGCCCGTCAATCCCGGTGCATCTGTGGGCGGGACAGCCGGCGACACGTCAGGCGAGGGCAGCAAGGACGGACCCTTTGAGTCGGCCGACCCCCCACATGTTTGGCCACGCGTGTGTGGAGTGGGGCCTCGCACCGCAACGAATGGTTTAAGTCTCGAGGGGTGCACAAACCACCGGCGCTTCCCCCATTTGATGCGAACACACTGAGGCCGCAGAACCTCGACCACCTCGACAGGACCCCTCCACGGCCGCGCCAGTTTAGAGGATGTCGCGAGTGGTACCTGGGGGCAGTGCAGCCATGCCCTGTCCCCCGGCTTCCACTGCAGCACGTGCGCGCGACCCAGTCTGAGGCGCTCATTTGCTTTCTGACGCTGTTCTGAATTTAGCATGGCAGCATCCCGTGCCTCAGTCAATTTTGCAAGGTTGAATTTAACATGGTCAATTAATTTTGTTTTACCCAGCGGCGTGGGGATCTGCAGCTGCGCCCGAATGGGTGGGTCAGGGTCGCGGCCATACATGAGGAAGAAGGGTGAAAATCCCGTTGCAGCATGGGGGGCCAATCTGTATGCCGCCAAGACCCCTTGGATTTTCAAGTCCCAATCGGTCTGTGAGTCTGAAACCTGCTGTGATAACATAGACGAGATGGTGCGATGCAGACGCTCGACCATCCCGTCAGTTTGCGGGTGATAGGGGGAAGTACGAATCTTTTTTGTTCCTAGGAGCTCACAAACCTGTTGGAGGAGTTTTTCGGAAAAATTTCTACCCTGGTCGGTCAGCAGCCGCTCCGGGGCACCTTTGTCCATGACATAGCCTTGGACAAAGGCGTCGACGATGGCTGCTGCCGACTGATTGGCCAGG